CTCTGGGCCAGGTGAGGCTGGACGAGGAGCTGGTCTCCTGCATGACCCAATTAGAGGCGTCCAGGGAGCTCCTCGTGCACAGGGCTGGTGTTCCTGCCCGAGACATCAGCTGTTCCCTGTCTAATTACCCACGGCTGAGTCATCCCGGCCCCGCTTTATCAGCGCTCGCAGCCACAGACAAAGCGCCCTTTGTGCTCCTCCAGCCCCTGCCAGTGGGGAATTGCCAAGTACAATTAATCACTGGCTCCTGCTGCTACAGGCCTGGGACATGGTGCCCTGGGAAGATGGAGATCAAGGAATGGAGAAAGGCCACTGCCTTCCCAATGGGACAGAACTGGGACTAGAGCCCAGATCCCTATCCCACTCCAGGAAGGTGATGGCAAGGAAAATATGTCCCCTGACAGGGAACAGCCACCACCCCTGCCATACCATGGAATGGTTTGGGTTGGAAGGGATCTTAAAGCTCTTCTTGTCCCACCCCCTGCCACGGGCAGGGACACCTTCCACTAGCCCAGGTTGGTCCAAGCCCCGTCCAACCTGGCCTTGGACACTTCCAGGAGTGGGGCAGCCACAGCTTCTCTGGGCAACCTGTGCCAGGGCCTCACCACCCTCACAGCCAACAATTCTTCCCAATATCTCATCCAACCCTGCCCTCTGGCAGTGGGAAGCCATTCCCCATTGGCCTATTACCACAGACCCTTATCCAAAGTCTCTCTCCAGCTCTCTTGGAGCCCCTTTAGATACTGGAAGGGGCTCTGAGGTCTTCCTGGAGACCTAACAGCGGTGGCTTTTGCCCAAGAGAGGCGCTTATGGCTCTGCCAGCAAGAGCAAGGCAAATATTTGTAAGTATGGGAAGTGTGCAGACCAGGATTATCCAGTTTGGTGAGTATGGATGATCCAGGGACAGCTCCAGCAGGTCCATCAACTCCTCCTGCTTCCTGAACCAGACATAGACCCTTGGAGAGGAAAACCAGTGCCCAATTTCCAGGCCATGCCTGTGCTGGGAAGGCTGTAAGTCCTGTTTGCTGTGCAGTGGTTTCCAGGCTGGCAGGTCCCAGCAGCGACGTGGGACGTTCCCGGTACCCAGCAAGGCTCATCTGCACAGGGCTGGAGCAGGAACTATTTTTGGGATGGAAGCATTTGGCCAGGTTGTGAAAGTGCTGAGCAGCTGCTGTTTCTGCACTGGTGGCTGAGGAGGGTCAGCAGAGGTGTCCCCGTGTCTCTGGCAGTGTCTGGGTGCTGCCCCTGGGCCGGGGCTGCTGGAGAAGGGCACAGCCAGTCCCTGCTCACCAGGAACGAGCTGCTCCTGCAGCTCCCTGGCACAGCAGAGCAGGAGAGTGGCTCAGCTGCCAGTTCAGCCCCTCCACCTGCCCTGCTCAGGGGAGGGTTGGGTCACCTCTGCTCACCTGGCTGGGTATCAGTGTCCCAGTGCTGCTGGGGGGAGCCAGGTAGGGAATTTGAGGCCTGATTGGTAATTAGTTACCTCTGTTCTTGGCACAAAGCAGGACACAGCGAGCTGGAAAGCTACATGAGCGTGGCTCTGCCTGTGCCCTACATAAGGAGAAGCATCCAGCACCTCCCCACCCCTCGGGACACCAATCCCCCCTGAGGCAAAGCTCACCTGAGCCTTCCCTGAGGGGAATAAACACAACGTGCCCACTCCTGGCAGTGCCAGAGCAGAGCAATGAGCTCTGCAGGGCACGGAGAGCAGCTCTGCACCCCAACACTTGCCTGTCAAAGGGAGGGGATCAGGCCAGAGCACGCTGGGAAAATGGGGTATCAGCACCAGGCACCACGCTCCCGTTTTTGTCACACCAGGACTCTAAGGAGTTAACACCAAATGCCACCTCCTGTATTTTATCTCTCCTCCATTGAGGCAGCTCTGACAGTGGCAGCAGAACAATGCGAAATTCTGATTAGCTCTGGTTTTCCAGCAAGAGGGGAGGCACGAGAGGGTGGGGAATTAATACTATTCTGCATAATTTTTAATCTAAATTCCATTTCTTTTCTTTTCTTTCTCCAGGAAGCAAACAATCTAGGGGGTTTTGTACTCAATTTCTTGCTTTCATAATCTAAATGAATTGTTTGCAAGTAGGAGCCAGCTGCAAAGCTGGCAATCTTGGATCAGATCTGCCTTTCCCCTAGTTCCAGCTCCTCAGCTCTGATTAGCTAATCCTGGCTGCCTTGTGGCAGTTTCCAGGGAAAAGCAGCGTGTGAGCTGCAGCTCCCTGTGCTGGGGCCGGGGCTGAGGGCCGGCTGACAGCATTGATTTCGGGTGGGTCCGTGGTGCTCCCGGTTGTCAGTTCTCCGTGGAGGAGTGGGGTATTCTCTAGGAGAAAAGGCTGGCGGGGTTATTTATGGAATCCTGGCATTTTGGAAATACCAGAGGATGATTCTTTCCCCTGCTCTGTGCGGGGTGTGTTAGTTTGTTACGCTCAGGCTAATTAGCTGGGCTTTAAAATAGGAATAGGAGGCACAGCAGCAGCTTCTTGCTTGGTGATATCTGGGTGCTGCCCCATTTTTGGGGTGTTGCTGGTGTGCCTGGGGGATGTGGCAGAGCTGTCACCTCCATTTGGTGAGGCAAAGATGGTGGTGGATGGAGGCTCACAGAGCTCAAGCCTCAGCAGTGGGATGTCTGGAAGGGGATGGGATATTGGATGTGTTTTGTGCCAGGCCCTGGTTTGCTACACGGTAAATTAATCTTCCCTGTGAGGGTGGTGAGGCCCTGGCACAGGTTGCCCAGAGAAGCTGTGGCTGCCCCATCCCTGGAAGTGTCCAAGGCCAGGTTGGATGGGGCTTGGAGCAACCTGGGCTAGTGGAAGGTGTCCCTGCCCATGGCAGGGGGTGGAATGGGATGGGCTTTAAGGTCCCTTCCAAGACAAACCTTCTATAATTCTATGACTCCATGAATTAATTTGTGAATTGAGAGTCGTGGTCTCAACTCCTGCTGCAAAGCTGCCAGGCCTAGATGTGCTGGGGGTGTCCCACTGGGATGTCACCTCTCCAGGCTGACTGCTGACAGTCCCTAGAGCATCATCTCCTGCTGTGCAGCTCCCCATTCCCCCACTCTCACAGCTCTGTGGGCCCAGGTGAGTGGGACATGGCTCTGGTGACCCCCGTGCCCCACACTGGGCTGCTGCTGGTCCCGTGTGCCCTTCCCTGGGCACAGCTCCACAGCCTCAGCCCTCAGTCGCTGCCTGTGCTTTATTCCACATGCTCCTTTTTCAGAGCAAATTCCCCGAGTGCTGGGGGGTGGATCCTTATAATTTTCATTTGTTTCAAAGCCGTACATGGCTTTACAAGCATGACAGAAATGCGCCTGGAGTGCAGGAAATGGCCTACTTAGCTGCAGGAGCAGAGCAGCTTCTCTGTCACGCTGACTCCAAGGACCTCGTCCTCCCCAGGGACTGGAGCAGCTGCCTGCTTCCCTCGCCAGTGCATTTCTGCAGCTTCTCTTCAGGAGATGTCTGGTGCCACCACAAAGCTCAGAGAGCAGTGAACAGGCAGAACAGTGCTGGGGAGCAGAGGTTTGGAGGGTATTTCCACATTCAAGGCCAGGTTGGACAGGGCTTGGAGCGACCTGGTCTAATGGAATGTGTCCCTGTCTATGGCAAGGGGTGGAACAAGGTGGGCTTTAAGGTCCCTTCCAACCCAAACCAGTCTGGGACTCAATGATTCTGAGTTCTGACACTGAAATGCTGTGTGAGGTCGGGACTGGTCTCTGTCCATGTTCCCCTGGCCGTGACAACCTCTTTTGGCTGTTTCAAGGTGGTTTGGAGAAGGAGAGGGGCTGTATTAGGACTGTTACCCACAGAAGTAGCACAGCTTGCAGGGCCAGACCTCCAGCTTTTGGACTTACTGGGCACTTTCAGCCTCATCTGAAAGGGGACAGATCGCAGAGGTGTTGCCTTCTCAGAGTTTGGGTGAGCTGGGAAGGAGGAGGACTCACCTCAGGCTCTTATGGAAGGAAAGGCCAGTCACAGAAGGGGTTCACCTCCCAGCAGCACCCAGAGGTGTGGTGGCCAGGCAGCTGCACATGACTCTGCCTTCACACCACTGGGACAATGCACAGGGCCTGTTTGTGCTACCTCTGCCATGCCTGGAACCAGGTGCATGCACAGAGAATCACAGAATATCCTGAGCTGGAAGGGACCCACAAGGATCATCCTGTCCAACTCCTGGCCCTGCACAGACACCCCAACAATTCCACCCTGTCTCCTGGAGCTCTGGCAGCCTTGGGGCTGTGCCCACTGCCCTGGGGAGCCTGGTTAGTGCCAACCACCCTCTGGGGGAAGAACCTTTCTCTAATACCCAACCTAACCCTGCCCTGACACAGCTCCACCTGTGTCAGAGAGGGTAATCAGACACTGGAATGGGCTGCCCAGGGAAGTGGTGGATTCTCAGTCCCTGGAGGTGTTTGAGGTGAGACTGGATGTGGCATCAGTGCCACGGTCTGGGGTTGGATCAAGGGTTGGACTTGATGATCTCAGAGGTGCTTTCCAACCTGGCTGATTCTATGATTCTATGAGTCTAATAGCTTTAGATCCTTCTGATATTGTGGCACCCAGAACTGCACAGAGGCAGGTGAACATTAAGCTGTCCAGCTTTTAATCTTATTGAATGGCTCTACCTGGTGTACTGAACCCTCCAGGGATCCAACCTTCTCTCAGACTATTTCCATTTTATTTGCTGTGGTTTTGTCTTTGGTTCAGAGAACACACTAGCAGCAGCAGCTACTGAGTCTCTCCATGAAGTCTTTGAGGCTTGGGGAAGATTGAGTTCCCAAGAACCTGAGAGACAGATAGCAGAGAACACTGCTGAAAAGTTCACTTACTGAACTTTTCCCAGTCAGAGGAATGCTCCAAACCTTGCTCCATGGACACAAGCAGACTGTCTCTGAATGCATTCCATTAGAAACCATGGCTACAGTTCAGAAATATTTGTTTTGGGGCTCTGATCCTTCCTCCCACCACTCTCATTTATCTTAGCGATGCTAATGCCACACTTCAGACTTTGCGTTTTAATCCCAAACAAATATATGTGTTCTTAGAGCTGGGAGTGCCCATGTGTCCATCTCCACAGTGGCATCCAAGGCTGCTCGGAGGCCTTGACTGTCCTGGCTAAGAATCCTGGGACTCAATCCGGTGGATGCTCTCTGATGTCAGTGAGTCAAAAAGGCCGCAGAGCAGCTCCTGGGCCTGGGGAGAAAAGAAGGGAAGGGTTGGGGCAGAGCTGTGAGTTGTGCATGGCAAGGAAACTTCTCTTCAGATGCAGGTTTCTTGTGCAGAGGCTGTTTTCCAGGCTGGATTAATCCCAGCACAGAGATGGCTGGGAAACCTCTGCTAGTTGTGACCACTGTTAGGCCGTTCTCAGGAGTCGTGTTTTCAAAGAACAACAAATAGCAACAATATGCAGAGTGGTAAGTGGGAAATCTACTCCCTCTTCCAGCTGCTCTGCCTCTCTTTCCCAAACCTTTCTCTGGAGCAGCTCTGGCATGGCTGCTTCCAGGCTGGAGAGGCCAGGATAGTGCCAAGGGCCCCGGGACAATCCTGCAATCCTGGCTGTGCTAATGAGCACCATGTCCCATAAAGCACAAGAGATGCTGTGCTGACGCCCACCCCACACAGCCCTCGGGGCCCTCCTGCCAGCTCTGCCTCTCCTCACAGCTTCTTAATCTCTGTTATAGACTCCAGCCCCTCTGCTGCTGAGGGGCAGAGTGGCCAAGAGCGGCTGGGATGTGTTTTCCCCCTGTCCCTCTGCTCCAGTCCCGGGTTTCAGGTGTCTGCAAGGAGGGAGATGCTGGAGCAGACTCAGGCAGAGCTGAGGGATTAGTGCTGCCTGCCAGTGGAGGCTCAACTGCATCTGTGGGCTCTAACTGAGGGATGACTGTGCAGTGTTACCCCCTGCATGTCAGTGATGTCCTGCACTGCCACCGAGGGACGGCCACCTCAGCCTCACGGGCTCATCCAGCCACACTCACAGCTGCAAGGGAGGGGAAATGTCCAGCCCCAGGACATCCCAGTCCTGAGGCTGAGCACAGCACACCCTGACTACTCTCTTATTGCTGGAGACATTCCAGTTTGGGCAGGGACATCTGGAGGCCCATGGAAGTTCAACAGCCCCTGATGGTGGCCATGGCTCTGTCACACTTCCAGAGGGGAACTGGTCTGTGTGTGCCCAGGATAAGCCTGCACGGCATTTTCAGGGTCACTGTGTAAAAATAAGGAACTTCCAAAGTGTGGATTTGTCTGCTCCTAAGGCAGATGTTTCACACAGGCAGGTGAAGGTGCTCCAGCAGTGCAAGGCTTGCTTACCAAAAGGGCTGCAGAAGCAGGCAGACAACCAGCCCAGGCCCAGATGTCAGCACTGACACAGTCCACATTTGGAAAGCTGATTTCCCATCCTATTGCCTAATCCCAAATCTCACAGGGAGCAAGGATGATGTTGCTTTTCACTTCCATGGCTCAACTCCACCAGTAAAGACTGCAGCTCTGCTCAGACCACGAGGATTTGAAATCCATGTTCGTTTAACCCTCCTGAACTTTGCCTGGTATCAGGATGTTCCTCATTAGCTTTGCCCTGGAAAGCCTGGCTGGCATTTCATAAACTCATTAGCAAGAGATCAGAGGCTCAAACATCATTCCTTGGGCCACCCTTTGAGGTTCAGGTTCCCTGGTGTGCTTGATCCTCAGATCTCACTCTGATTCCTACACCTACCCCAGATTTGGGAGCCAAAGACCCACTGGAAAACAAACCTGCTGTTTGTACCCCCAACAAGACGTGCTGCACCTGCCACTGTCCCAGGACTACAGTCCTGGTCCAAACTCTGAGCTGCTGAGAGCAGCTCCTGCTTCCACCAGCCCCAGAGGGATTAGATTCCACATCCCAGGCTGTCAGAAGCAGGGAGAAGGGCTGAGCATATTTGCTTTTTTCTCTTCTCAGCACAGAAGCGCCCTAAGCCTTTTCCTGATAGGCTGATTCCCCGGTGCCGGGAAGCAGAAAGGATTTTATGTCAGGCAGGGATATGTAATGTCCTTTCAAAGCAAATCAGAAGCCAGCCTGGACTTGCTGCCCTGTCACATTCCTTGGCAACAGCCTGGCACCCTGGCAGCAGGCAGCAGTGAGCTGTGACAGCCCTGCAGAGCTGTGCAGGCAGAGCTCCCAGGCACTGCAGCGGGAGCAATCCCAGCCACGCTGTGGAGAATCCCACTGTGCCACGGGGAAAGAGCCTGAAGGCAGCAGCTGAGGGACTTTGGGGAAGTTGGGGTAGTTTTGACTGTGTTAAAAGAAGGAACACAGACTTCAAAGAGGGCTCTGTGTCTTTTAAGGCTCAGTCCTTAAAGCACTAGTCCTGAAGGCAGCAGCTCTCATGTGTTATGTGAGGTTACAAGCACAACCTCGCTCTCCTGCTGGGGTTTTTTGGGGAAGGAAAAGGGATCCAGAGGAGAGGCTTGGGCATTTGCTGTCATTTCTCACTCCCCCCAATTCTTCTATCACAGAATCACAAAATGGCTTGAGTTGGAAGGGACATTAAAGACCATCTCGTCCCACGCTCCCTTCCACCAGGAGTTTATATCTCCTAATCCCAATTCTTCAGGCACTGCCTCCTCTATCCAAACCTCTCGTCTGTTTTGTTCTAAACTTTGATGATTACAGCCAGAATTTTAGAATGTATTTATGCAGTTTATTCCCATTAGCTGCCCACATGTCTGGAGCTCAGTGTTTCCTTTCTTGGGATGAACTACTGAGAAAATATTCAGCCAACCCACCCCTGGAATGGCTTCATTTCTCCTCTTCCATTTGGATTTGGGCTTCTGAAACATAACTTCTGGAACACAGGACATGTGCCAGCTTGGCCACAGAGCTGAGTGAACATTTCCTGTCACTAATTTTTGACAAATATCACAGCTATTTGAAATCCTTCCCTGTGAGGGTGGGGAGGCCCTGGCACAGGTTGCCCAGAGAAGGTGTGGCTGCCCCATCCCTGGAAGTGTCCAAGGCCAGGTTGGACGGGGCTTGGAGCAACCTGGGCTAGTGGAAGGTGTCCCTGCCCATGGCAGGGGGTGGAATGAGATGAGTTTTGAGGTCCCTTCCAACCCAAACCATTCTGGGATTCTGTGATATTTTTTTAAGTGTTGATTTTTGAGAAAAAAACCCCTGAATTTCTATGGAAAATATAGATTCTTTATCAATATCTCCAAGTATTTTGATTGAAAACTGTGTTACCACTGTAATTTGGGAGACAGTTTGACAGGATGTTGGTCCCACGTTCCCCACGTGCTGGGCTCAGCCTAAGCCAAGGCTTGGGGCTGCCACAAGACACCACCTCTGTCTCACAAAGCTTATCATTTTCTTCTAAAATTCAACCAACATTGACAAATTTCATTCATCACAGGGGCACAAAGGACACATATCTCTACCATAAACTTCTCTACTTGCCTGATTCTCATTCTGGGGATAAAGGAGATGCTCTGCAGTGTTCAGGACGGACTGTTTCTGCCAGCAGGCACTGGGGGTAAAGAGGAAGGGAAGGCAGTGTTAGTTTGCCCTGTCAGCTGTCAGGGAGTGCAGATGACCCAGCTCTGAGGAGGACTGTGCTCTGTGCCAGCAATTCCAGCCACGGGCATCTGCTACTGAACTTCTTTACACAGCTAAATCCTGGGTTTTACAAAGCTTTGTATAAATGGCTTTGCACTATTAAAATATAAACCTTCAAACTAACAGTTGCATAATGGGGGGTCTGGGGCTGACATGTAAGTGTAGATAGTTAGCTCTGTGCAAGGGTCTTGTTCTCCACAAAGGTAATCTGGGTGTTTAACACAAACCCCAGGACTTTCTGAGCCGCAGGGACTGCCCAACTAGTCCTTGTTTCGCTCTGTTCCTCCTCAAGCCACACACAAGCTGACCCTGAAACGTATTCAAGAGAAATCAAAAGGCATGGTACAAATTTCAAAAGTGCCTTTTAAACTGACTCTGTGCACACTTGGAGCCTCAGGCTTGAAAATTCTCCAGAGGCTTTGGACGCCACTCCCTGCTCCCTGCCCCCATATCCAGGTATTGTGCTTGGCAACAGTTTTCCTTTCAGTGGTTTTCAACTGCTCTAAGATTTTACACCCCATGTGTTCATTTTTTTTTTATTTCTACACCTCCTACCCCTCCAAAGCTCCCCGGGATGAGCTTCCTATAGGGATAACATCGCTCCCTGCTAACAGCAATTAACACTGGGAAGAATGTTCCGTCACAAAGAATAACATCCAGCTAAGTTCCTTAGCACTTGCCTTCTGTTCTGATTGCATTACATTGTTTAAAGGCAGAAAGGCAGAAAGCCTGGCCTAAACTCTGATTTTATTCTGCTGCAGTGTTTTGGGTGTTTTACCCAAAACCTGCCTCCTGAGTTCAGTACAATGTTAACCAGGTGAGCTCCCAAGTCCATGTACAATGCATTTAGGTCCTAACAATCTTACAGGCATCTGAAAGTACTTTTTAAATGCTTAAAACTATAGAGGAGTAATCACTATGGCATCAGCATCACCTATTAAGGCAGCTAAATCTGGTTTGTCATGCATAAAAAGCAGAGCATGCCTTCCTTCCAGGAGCTGCTTTGAATCCACTGCTGTACATTCTTCTCTCTGCCACCCTGCAGCCAGGAAATGTGGCTGTGAAAACAAGTTATGACAGGGAAAATTCAAATGCTTTAAAGTGAGATATCCAGGCAGCCGGATGCTGACAGAACTAGAAAGGTAAGTCTCACATAATTTTTCCTTGTCTGTGGGGTAGGATTGTGTCACTTCCTTCTCTGGGTTCTCCCCCTGGTTCCCACTGCTCCCAGGCTGTGCTGCAGCTTCCCCTCACCTCTTCCAAACACTGACTTCACTCTGCCCTATGAGTTAGCCTTGGCACGTGCCCAGATTCTCCCAGATTCCTGCTCTGGCTCCACTCTTGGCAGGCAACCAAACTCACAGGCTGCTTTTGTGTCCACACCTGCATTGGTTTTGTCCCTCTCTCTGTTCTTCCTGCCCTTTGGTGCAGAAATAATTCCTTCATGGATGTCCAGAAAGCAGCCAGAGTGGGCCCTGCTGCTTTCTGCAGCTCCTAAGACACACTTAGGAGGGTCTGGGTCTGTCTTCAACCCCCCCAGGGACTGAATGCCTCTCCAGCACTACCAGAGCTGGCTTAGGGAAGCTTTAATAGACTCAGAGCTAGGGGCAGTTACACTGGCAAAGACCACTTTGTTCCTCTCAACACCTGATTCCTCCTTCTTATCGAGGCCCATCTCCGACATCACATCCTAGGCTTCCATACAGATGGCAACATTCCTCCCCCTGGCACAAAGAAAAGTGGCTCAGCTGTGAATCAAGTCCCAGGGCTGTAAAATAATCCCTCCACCGTGGTGCTTCAGCAGTGCAGCTCAAATTCAGGCCAAAACCTGGGCAGGTCGTGGCAGAGAGAGGGAAATAAATACCCAGTGACTTACACGGTACAGAAAGGGCTGATGGAGTTGTCAGGGTAATTAACCTCGGGTGTTATTTAAATTGAAGATGTCTTGGCTTGAAGTGCCCTTATGAGGCACTAGTGAAGTCAGGCTGGGCTTTCAAACATATTGGCAAAGCAGATTTTAAGCAACGTCTTGTGAGACAATAAGGGCCTGAGCTCCTGTTGGCTGAAGCTGATCTACCTGAAGATGTGAGCTCCCCTCCTCCCATCCTGGGACACACTCTCCTGCCCCTCCCTTCCACGGGCACCACTGATCATGAAGGCAGATATGGGGTTTCTGTATGAAATGGCTGCCTGATCACTGGTTCTGGCACCAGGGTGAGAGGCAGAGTGGATCCTGCCACTTGAAGTGCCTCTTGACAGCCATAACTTATGCACGTGTTGTGCAGTTCAGCAAGGGACTCCTCTGTACAGAGCAGGATGAGAGGTGAAGGCACAGTGAGACTGGCACCTATTCCTGCCCACTTCCTTCTCAGCCCCTGGGCTCCCTGGTAAAGACAGGAGAAGCCACAGGAAGTTTCTCTGGAGGTGCTGCCTTGAGACTGAAGCTGAAAACACGTCTAGCCTACAGGAGAGGGAAGTGCTGGGCTGCAGCTGGTCCTGCTAAGCAGCACCCATGACTCTGGGAAAAACAGAGAGGTGGGGGGCCTTGTACTGGCAACCACCCTCCCAGAACCACCCCAGTGATCTCTGGGGTTCCCAGCAGCTCAATTTTCTCCTGTAAACCAGGAAAAAAACTGGAAGAAAACCCAGCAGAAAGGTCCTGGGGAAGGTGCTCTTTGCCTCCCTTTAGTGCTGTGCCTTGCAGGGTGGAAGGTTTGGGATGTGGCTCCCAAAGGTGTGATTTTAAATGAATGGGAGCAAAGTCTATATTTTGCAATTACCTTGAACACATTTTTGAAAACTTACTGCTGAACTTTGTTCCAACCATTCTTCCTAGGTGTGGCCCTGAAACATTTCATCAAAGTATGACAAGTCCGAGGTGCCTACAAACGTGGATATTCAGCTTTCATCTTCTTGATGCTTGAAAATTCCATTATCCCTGAATACTTAGTCCTGTTCCACTGACAGCATCATCTGGAAGTCCTCCAGATGGTCCAGCCAAAGTCAGGACAGTGTTATCAGTGTGGCTCCTGCCCTGCTCCTCACTGAATGTGTCAGAAAACACCCTCCTTGCTTCCTCTGCCAGAGGAACCATGTGCATGAGCTACACATCCCATTGCCAAACACCAGCCCCTGTGTAGGCAAACCTTCCCTCTGGGGAACAGAGGGTTAATTGCCCTGCTAATCACTCCGTTTCACTAATCGGTCCCTGCAGAGGGGTTCTGTTTGTTTTTCCAGCCTTATACATCCTCTATCCAACGTTTGTGGTGATTTATTTAAGAGGCTAATTTTGATTTTGCTCTCTGGCATTTCAGTATTTTTTTCATAGCAAACATAAAATCTGCTAAGATATTTCTCCAAGGAATTTTATTGATTCAGCAGGTCTATTCCCAATGGGAGTCCTTATTTCAGAATCCCCTGTATTCATGGAACCACACTGCCAAACCTCACAGACACTCCAGGTCCTTAACCAATGACACAACTTAGTATTTAAGGTCCTGAGTAGAGGACACATGACTTGGAAAGTGTGGGATACTCTGAGGTGTTGTGCCCCTCACAACAAGAAAGACACTGAAGGGCTGGAGCGTGTCCAGAGAAGGGAACGGAGCTGGGGAAGGGGCTGGAGCAGCAGGAGCAGCTGAGGGACCTTCTCACTCTCTCCAGGAGAGTGGAGCCAGGTGGGGGTCAGGCTCTGTTCCCAAGGAACAAGGGACAGGATGAGAGGAAACAGCCTCAAGTTATGTCAGGGAAAGTTGAGGTTGGATATTGGGAAAGTTCTTCCATGGACGGGGTGGTCAGGCACTGCCCAGGGCAGTGGTGGAGTCACCATCACTGGAAGTGTTCAAAACACACGTGGATGTGGCACTTGGGGACTTGGCTTAGTGTAATACATGGTGGTGGTGCTGGTTTGATGTCTGGATTTGATGATCTTAATGGTCTTTTCCAACCTTAGCGATTCCATGATTCAGTGATTAACAAGGTAACTGTGAAGAAGAGGCTGCCTTTGAGTGGCACCTGCCCTCATCAGACCTGGAATTACAGAGCAGGAGGTGCCCCTCCTCAGAGCACAGGCTCTGTAGGGGTGTGGGGCAGGGCCATGTCCTCTCTTACCTGTCCAGCAGGGAGCCGAGGCAGGTGACAGCATTGTCCCGCTGTGCTGCCAGCACCAGGCACAAACCATCCTTCAGGAGGGAACACTGCAAGAGAGGCAAGAACAGAGCTTTAGTGCAGCTCTTCACTTAAATGAGTCTAATTCTGGCTGATGAACTGCTGACAGCACCAATAACCCCTGCGGGAGGGGCTGGAGCCACAAAGGAACAGACTCTTCCAAGTTGAGAGGATCGTGCCTGAGCTGTTATCCGGCTCCCACAGCTCACTGTTACTCCTGCTCCCCTCTCTCAGAGTGAAAATAAGCAGGGGGTGTTATTCAGTCATTACCTCTGCTGGAAGCAGGAATAGGGAGATAAGGTAAATGTTGAGATGTTGTAGCAGAAGCATTCATTACTTGAAGGAACCCACCTCCCTTCCAGCACGGGAAAGCAAAGGCTGGAACATTCACCTTTAGCTCAGCAGTGCCAGATCCTTCTGGAAGCACGCCAGCTCTGCCCAGAGTCATTAATCTCTGACAGCAGGAAGGAGGTATGGCTCTGCCCCACACACACTGATTCACTTTGTCATTCCTAGAGAGCTGCACATTCCACGTGCAGGGGGATGGATCCTCGGGGGACCCGCGGGAAAAGGAAGCAGTTCTTACACTAATTGGCTGCTAGATGTAATTGCTGTTCCATATAGATGTGCTTCAAAGGAATGTCAGTTTAAAAAATCACAACCTGAAAAGGTCTTAGCTGCTGTTATTACAGATAACACTTACAACTGAAAGGCTGGAAGCACAAATGTGTTTTGCAGAGGGGCTGCTGTGCTCTGACAGCCCTTGGGTGGTTGTTGATTTGCTATTGCCCCTGGTTTACCCTGTGCTGCTGACAGCACTGCCTTGTACATTCCACCTTGATGCTTTGCCCCGGCAAGGTTCCTGACATGGTGGGCTTTTCCTACACCAAAACAGTCTGGGCCCAGTATTTGGCTGCTGTGAAGCAATGCCTGCTCAGCCCAGCAGCACAGCCCGTGCTCCAGCCTCGTGAGCGCTGGCACAAGCCCCACACTGGGCTGCAGCCTGAGCTGTCAGCACCCACTAACTGAGAATCCCAGAGTGGCCTGGGGTGGAAGGGACCTTAAAGCTCATCCCATCCCACCCCCTGCCATGGGCAGGGACACCCTCCACTATCCCAGGTTGCTCCAAGCCCCATCCAGCCCCCAGGATGGGGCAGCCACAGCTTCTCTGGGCAACCTGTGCCAGGCCCTCACCATCTCATCTAACCCTGGCAGTGGGAAACCATTCCCCCTTTTCCTGTCCCTCCAGGCCCTTGTAAATTGTCTCTTTCCATTTTCCCTGAAGGCTCCCTTCAGGTCCTGGAAGGCCACAATTAAGTCAGCCCAAAGCCTTCTCTTCACCAGACTGAACAATCCCAATTCTCCAGCCTTTCCTCATAGCACAGCTGCTCCATCTCTCTGATCATCTTGGTGCCTCCTCTGGACCTGCTCCAACTGGTCCATGTCCTTCCTGTGCTGGGGACCCCAGAGCTGGAGGCAGCACTCCAGGTGGGAAATCCCTGCCTAGGACTCCAGGGCACAGTCCAAAGCATGAAAGAGTTGTTCAGCATTGTAGTAGAGGATTAATGGGGTGTGATTAGAGAAAGGGAAAGAGAAATTGTATTTATATAGAGAAACAAGACAGGAGACAGCAGAACACATATAATAGTGCACCGATGGGTGAATGGAATTAAATGTTCAATAAATAAATAATGGATGGGCAATTCCTACTAAGGATACACTCACACATAATGATGTTGAGGCTGGGGTCAGTGAGCCAGCAGGGATACAGGAACACCAGGGAGGGACACTGCTCAAGCTACTCACCAGAGGTGTCCAAACTCAGGGGCAGTGCTGGAACACTGCTACCAAAGCAAGTTTGCTCAGAGCAAACAGCCAGCTTAGCACAGCAGGGCATTAAAAAGCTCTTCATTTGGGGAGGAAGCAAAGCCCGACTCCAGCTGTTCCCTACCTTTGCTGCCACACTGCCCTTGGCCCTGCTGAGTGTCCTGGAGACGCAGAGAGCCTGTGGCATGTCCAGCACGGTGAGACGAGCTCTGGACACCGAGAAACCTCTGCCAAGAAGCTCATCCAGCAGGTCCACGTAAGGTGGGGGCTCTGAACCCCGCAGGATTATCCCAGGCAACACGAGGCAAGTGGTTTGGCAGCGGGTACCCAGCAATGGCTGACCTGATGGGAAAAGATGAAAACACTTATCTGATATTTCCCCCCCCCCAAGTGATTCTTCCCCGCCACGGACATGGAAGTGGGATGTTGGAGGCACTCAGGGGTTGTGATGTGGTTTGGGATGCTCATCCCAAGCTGCTGGACTCCTGCTGCCTTTGTGTCCCTATCTGGAGAGCACAAGACAGCAGTACTGACCCCATTTCAGGAGTCAGACAAGGACAACTGCTGCTTTGCTACAGGAGATACGGTTCCATTTCATTTTTTTCCATGCAAAGAAATCTGTTAATCCAGCTGCTTTTATAATCCCTAATGTAATTCTGCTCAACATACGTAAGACTTAATGTATTTCATATTTTCCTCATGATAAATCTGTCTGTCCATTAGGCAGCAGCTTTGTGATAATTATTTGCTGGAAGGAGGTTTCCTTGTGTGCAAGAGCTTCCTCTAGTGTTCAAGATGAGCCCAGAACGTGAGTGATGTGTCTGCCTTGCTGGAGGCACTTACTATATCCTGCCTGACAGTTCAGGGATCACGTGGACTTGCTTTTCCAGGACAGTAACTCTTTGAAATACATTTTCTGAGACACAAAAACATCAGGGCTGTACACTGGTTTCCTTTTTACTCTGCTTAGACATCTTCAAAGCAGAGATCCTCATGCAGCAAGAAATTAAGGGCACATATTTTGAGATTTGATTCCACACTGGGCTGCGCAAAGCCTGCAGAATACCTCTGCTCTCTCCATAAGCTATTTTATTTTGTTTATTTTATTTTATGCAATCTCTTATAAAAATCAAGAAATGCTTCAGTCACAGCAGACCTGTGCTACAGGCCCAGTTCTTTCCCATTGTGCAGGAAGATAATGGGAGAAATACCAAGTAACAAATACCTTGGGAAAAATCCTCCTTCAGAGACCCCCTACCCAAAGTGACAGCTCTGCTGTCCTGAGGGCAGAGGCCTTGACTTACCACCCCTTCCCTGCACTTCCACATGTGCTGCCTCATGCACCTCTTGGTATGGGACCAGTGCCCCAAGTCCTGTGTCAGGAAGGGTTTAAGGAGAGATGTGATGGTCTGTAATTCTGTAGCATTTTTGTCCTACTCCTCTCTCAGTCTACAACAATCCTGTGGTTCCACTGCTGCTATTGATGACCACAGTGATCAGGTGCAGCACAGAACCATTTTCTGAGCTGCCCACATCAGTCACACCAGAACTCAAGCTACAGGAACGACAATGAGCTGGTTCCAAACAATTCTGTTCCCCAGTGAACACCACAGGGATGCTTTACTTGATCACTGCTTGTTTGTTTGCAAAGGCTTGGGATCAATCCACAACATCCCAACATGGCAGCATCCCCCTGTGTTAGTGACATCTCGTGACCTGAAGGATGCTGTATCCCAGCTGTGTTTACACTTGTCCATCAAGTCAAATCAACAGAAAAGGCCCAGAGAAGCTGCTGCATCCAAGGGAACTGACAGCCTTGCTGAGGCTTCAGCTCCAGATCAAAGTCAGCCTGGCAATAGCTGGGAGTCATTTTGAGCTGGCAGCTGCTCAGCAGCAGTAGGAACTGAATGAGCTCTCAGTCCAGTTTCTGAGAGGTAGATGGCTGTGCTGCCAGCAGCACTCCCTGCATAAATTGTTATCCATGCCCTCACAGAACAGGCTGCCTCCCCACCACCCAGCCCCCCTGTGTCCTGGTGTCCTGCCTCTCCCAGGGAGGCTTTGAATGGACACACAAACCACTGTGGCCAAAGTGGTGCTGAGACACCTTGTAAAAGTTCAGGAGAGGAACGTGTGCTGTTGCATCCACCAGCTGTGTTGACAGTGCTCGTTCTGCTGCTGCTGTTCAGGTCAACTCCATATTTAACCCCTAAAACACTGGCAGTGCAAAGGCCCAGCAGGTAAACAGTTAAATGGCTGCACTCCCCTGGAGCTGTTCTTTGCAGCTCAGAGCTGTCTCTCCCTTCTGAAAGGACATCAATACCAAATCTTGCTGCCACCAGATGGTTTGTCTTGCTGTCCAATTAATCAATAGCAGTCCCAATCTGTACCAGGAGTTACATTTCCTTACCAGGATTGCATAGCTGCTCGGAGCCCAGAACATTGGGTTTTCTTCCTGGCTCACAGTTTAGGATCTTGTGCTCCTTGCTGACTTCCAGACTGAATATGGGGTCACGTTTCAGGTTATAAATCTGCAGGAGGGAAGGGAGGGAGAGAGAAGCAAGTCACATGAACACTGCTACCTAATCAGGAGGGCTAACGCTTCTGAAGGATTGATTCAGGCAAGCTGTGAAGCTTTTGTTGCTGTTGTGTACTTCTGTAATTGCCAGCCCAGAAAACACCTGCTTGTCTGGAGATACAAGAACATTTTGCATGCATTTTTCTTCTTAATTGAGGCTTAATTCAATACAGGATCTTGTCATCCTTTTAAAAGTCCTGTATCCAGACATCTTTCTAAGGTCTCTACTCCCAGCTTTTCCAGGCCAGAAACTCAAAATCTGTGAGGCTGGCAGCTTTATCCAGTGGATAAGTAAAGCTGGGGAGTAGCAGCTCCTTCCTGTCTCTGAATGAAATGGCACATCCAAGTGTCAAGCAGAGCCACAGTGCCCTGGGCTGAGCTGCACAGGGACAGCAGCACATCAGTGAAGCCTATTACAGATGTGGCCAGCAGCATCCAGCTCCAGAGCTCATCTCCTTGGACTAACTCAGCTGGGTCACCTCTGAGCCACAGCAAGGCTCAAACATTTCCATCACTCCAATGAGCATAACCAAATCATTATTCCATCATCAGCCATCCCACCTCATTTCTGTTCCTGAAGGACACAAAGCTGGTAAAAAATCAGCCCCTGGGTCATCTGTGCTTAGCAGTCAGGGATAATGCTGAAAGCAAACATCCCCCTTCCAAAGCAATGCTGACCATGTGGGAGCTTTGCTCCTGAAACCCTGAGCCCTCCTGAATTTCCAGCCCGGGGTTCTGAACAAACAGTTCTGAACCAGCTCTTCTCCACCAGCTCTCTGGGTCAGTACAGAGGGAGCACAGTGTGGTAGGAACATCCACAGGAGAAGGAAAACTCAGCAGCTGGTAAAACACATCAAAAGCAGCATTATCTAAAACATAATAGGAAAGAAGTCATGGGACAGCAAGGCCAAAGCCACTGCTCTGACACAGCAGGATAAACCCCAGGAAAGGGCAGATCCTACCTCTTCTTCCTCCAGTGTCTGACACTTGGCACAGCACAGCCCTTCTGGGAAAAACAGCCTCATATCCCGGACAGCCATTCGATAGGATTTGGAGCCTGAGAGATAAATAAAATGAGAAGATTCTCTCAGGCTTTGAATTAAACATTTTCTCTAGACTCACACTCATCTTTTGGAGAGATTGATGATGTGCAACTTACTGAAGTAATTGCTTTAAAGGCCAGCTGTTCTGTACAGTAATAGCAAACGTTTAAAACCATTATATTTAGAATAGTTTCATTGCCTCCTTGGCATTTTGATTCTGTCCTATTATCACTCAGCAGCTTCTTCATGTAAACAAGACTCCTATTTCCTAAGAGTATAGTCAAGGGAATCATGTTAAGGAGCCTGTGAAGCCCTCCAGTACCAGCTCTAAATCCCATTGTTGTTCCTTTGCTTCTGGATCACATCAGGCTGATCTTACTGAAGGAAAAGAGCTACTAGTTAGTAAAATAAATGTACTTAGTAACAATAATGCAGGTCCTAAATAGGCTGGGGGGCTCTAACTGACCACAGAAATCAGAATTAGCATGAGGCACTGCTAATGCCAGTGTCTTTTCTGTTCACCTGGGGTCAAAAAAAGTGAATTGAGACTAGAACAGGTACAGAGAAATGACATGAGGATGGTGGAAGGAATGGAGAGTCATCTGAAGAGTTAAAGCTAAAAGACCTTGGCTTGTTTGACCCAACATGACCCAAAGCTGAGAAGCAATTTGATTTCTGATAAACACTCCAGGGTAGAAAAGGTCAGAGGCATAAAAAGAACTACTTAAAATAAAATCCAGATAATGGCAGAAGAACAAATGGGCACAAACTGTATGTGACTTTATTTAAGTTTGAAAATGTAAGAAGATTTTTAGCCATCAGAGCAGAGAAGCTCTGTGACAACCAGACAAGTGGGGTGGATGCTTATGAAAGGGAATGTGTGATGGGGTTGTCTGTGAGGGAATTAGCTGATCTCAGTGACTTGAGAGGTCTCTCCAGGCTTAGCAGCTGAATATTTCCCTATAAAGCATCAGTGTTATAAAGCACTACTCAGGATGTGTTGAGATTCGTGGGTGGAAAATATTAGAGAGGGAAAAGCTATTTCTGTATCACTGGAGTCCACATAGTTTGTCAATGTGCTGGCACAGATCCATACTCCTGGGATACAAATACACAAATATCCTCTGAAATATTCCCACCTTTGAGGCTACCCATGAAAGAATCCCATCTGAGAGCACGGTTTGAACTCCATAATTCCAGCTTTGTATGGCCAGAGCCCCTAACACAGCACTTCACAATCCTAAGGTTGTATAAGTCTCCTGTGTTTGAGCTGTGCTGGATCCTTTTTGTACCTTCCATGTTTAAATCACTGATGCCATTAGAGGACACAAATGCTCCCAAAGTGAGCAACAGTAAAACTCTTGCTTTGCTCAAGGTATAACCCAGTGTAAGGTGCATACACCTAAGAGCTCTTTGGATGCAAGGAAAAGCACTGTACAATGACTTTCCAGGCTCCAGAAGAGATGAAAGTAAGGCAGGTTTAACTCTGCAGCTGAGCCTCAGACTATTAAAGCTGTATGACTGCATTACCTGGTTCAGTGGTCTCCCTGGAACCCAGTCTTCATATTAATTGAATTTCCCCAGTCACTTTGGGAGGACACAGCAAGAGTTTGCTCTGCTTCAGCCATTAACTAAAGTTCTTCCTCAGCTGGAGCAAAACTGAGAAAGCTTAGTATTCCCTCCTAGGAGAGGAAGATGGTCTTACAATCTCCCCACATTGCTCATGGAAAGCTCTTCCTGCTTAACTTGTAGGTAAATGTTTCACCTGTATTGAAGGGCAAGCTCTTGGAGGTACAAGGGTTTAGGAACAGTCCTTTCCTTATGGACAGACACCTCCTTGGCAGAGCAGCTGGGTCAGACTCATCAGTTAGCTACAGCTACATCCATTTCCCTGGAATGTGTGCCAGGATGGCTTTGTACACAATGCAGACAGTCTAAGAGCAGGTGGTGGCCAGCTCAGCTCTGTGCTCAGCCCAGACTTCAAAGGTGGCTTCAAATCCCAGCCTGGGGATCTGAAGGGAATCCCAAAGCAGAACATCCAAGGGCTTCTCAAAAACAGTGAGCTACCTGTGACTCCCAATCAAACAGGATGAGGCTCAGCCTCTCTAATCAATATAAAGTCATCTTTCACTGAGTTATGCTGGGGATGCTCCAACTGTAGCAGGTGTCTGAAGTTTGGGGTATATATCACCCATTCTTAGTCATGACTGAGGAGTTCTCAGTCTCAAGGCAACCTGGATACACAATCCATTAACCTTAGAGGCAAAAGAAGCAGGGGCTGATAATGTAAAAGTATTGGCTAAAGAGCCCTGACCACTCTTTTTGTGTAGGTACATCCTGCTCTTCAGGCCCTCCCACAGGTGAGATCCTATGGGATCGTGGTGAGAGAGCTCTCTTGGCTCAGTCTTGGTCCTCAAGATTCCAATCTGATAAAAGAAGGTTCTGGATCAAGGGGTTGGTTCTCTTCCCCAAGCTGTACATGGAGTACTTCATTACCTACCAGTTTTCAACAGACCAATTGATGTGGATGAAAAGAGGGAGTGATTTCACAGCACAGAATACAAGAGAAAGAGCCAAATAATCCAAGGAAAGTTCTGGGACTTGAGAGCATACAGTGCCTACCAGCTCACCTGGGTTTAAATAAATTATTGCTTTATTATTTTTATATTTGTTTAACCACATAGAGCACAATCAGGTCCACACTGAGACAAAACACTACTCACGGGCAGTGATTTAACCCTTACAATGTTTGGAATAACATCCTTCTCTCCTTGTGGCAATACCTCCAGCAGCAATACCCTTTGTTCTCTACAGGCCACTCTCTCCAGGGGTGATTCCCATTTTCTCATCCTTCACACACACACACACACACATTGCAACATCCCAGTCCTTCCCTGCTGGCAGCTGAGCTGTGATGGTTCAGCACTCTGAGGGTGCTGACTGTGTGCTCTGCTCATGTGCCAGCTGGAAAGAGCCTCTCCCAATGGAAAACAGCTGAGTTTACCTGCTTTTCTCAGTCAGAGAAATTCTTAATCACCTCTGTATTGCTCCTTAATGTTTTGAGATGTTACAGAAACTCGGTATCTTGGAGTCTTTAATTCCTCTGTGAAATCTGGTGGGAGTGGGCCAATGGGTTATGGAGACATCAGGAGGACACACACAAGCAGAGAAGACAGATGGGTTCTTGGGGGTAATTACAGAATAACCAAGCCAAAAGTACAAAATGGCCAAGTAGGGAAGAGATCAAAGGAAATCTGTTATGATGGAACACAGATCTAGGGCTGTTCTGGGAAGAAACCTTTCTGAAATATATTCTCTAGGAGAATATTTTATAGCTGGAGACACACTCAGCTCAGCCACCAAGAAAACAGTAAAAGCTTTCTAGGGAATAATGGTCTTCACTGCCTGCCAAGGCTGGATCTGTAGTGACAATGCAGGAGGGAACAGTACATTTTTTATTTGCCATTTGCATATCTGAGTCTTTGGCCTTTTCTTTTACAAAAACCTACCATAAAATCCATTATGGACTGTGCTGGTGCCATACTGAGCCCTCCAGAGGCAGGGATCTACTGCTTGGGCTAGTTTAGGATCCTCTGGCCCCAGGAGATCCACCAGCTTCTTCACAGCATTTGGCCTCTGCAGGCACAGCACGAGAGCAGTGCCTGAGGTGAGGTAGGTACAGTGAGCTTCTAAAGCAGCAGGATCCTGAAAAGAAAGAACAGAGATGGGACAGTTATAAGGAACAGTGTTGGAAAGCACTGGGTATATCCCAGCTTTCCTTTGGCTAGGAAAAGTTGGAAGTAAGCAGATCTGCCACTACTCCTTGCTTTGTGTCCCCTTTGAGACACATGCTAGTGGCCTCTGAAGGCAGAGTTTAAAAATATACACCACAGACACCAAGTAGTGCTTGTGATATCCACCAGGTTACAGAAGGTTCAATTCCTTTGGCGTGAAGGAACTCATATGGATCAGATGGGAGCACGGGCACGGGCAGTATCACCAGGGTCATAACTGCCCTGGGATAACAAGCCACATTTAATTGTTCAGCCAATATAAAATGATGGATTACAAATAGCAGACCCTTTCTTTTTGTATTCATGAAAGGCAAGGCACCTCCCCACACACACACACACACACATACCCTGCTGCCAGAGCTGAGCTTCTCCTGGAAGATGGTAGAATTCCAGACACTGGGACCAGGACCACAGAGATTAAAAGCAGGAGGGTCAGAAGAGGGCCTGCAAGAAAACCATTTGCCCTCCTGGCTTTGCCACTGATGCTGTGATTTTACAGGGCTTTTTCTTGCATCCAAAACTTCTTTGCTTCATAGCAAATTTCTCTACTTTTGCTTCTTTTCCAAGCATGGTCAGTTCAGCCCATGACCACTCCTGAGCAAAGCTGTTCCTCTTGTAGCTGTGCTGCTCACAACACCCTGGGAATCTTATTTTGCCTAAGGATAAGTGGAAATGCCAACTAGCAACCACTGTGCTGGTGAGAGGAATCTGCTTTGAGTGCCAGAGACAGACACAATGATGGAAAGGCAGCGAGTGCCTGGGGCAGGATACCATGGGCAGCAGAGAGCTCACGGCCTTGCTGACGGCTTTAATCAAGGAAAACCTTGGAAAACCAGGTTTGTTGCAGATGTCTGGGCTGAACACAAGATCAGGGTGCCCAAAGCAGCTGCAGCCTCCCTCCTCCTACCTCTTCATCTGAGTAAAGTGGCAGGAGCTGCTTCCCTGCACCCCACGGAGTGACAGCCAGCACTGGATGTTCTCCACACATTACAAACAAGGGCATTTCCAGCTCCCTGCCTGAACCAACTTATGGTTATTTACTTTTTTTCTAATTTTGGAGGAAATAAAAACAGGAGGGGAATTTGATTCAGCTGAATCACGTCATTCACAGAGGTTTTAATTCCTCTATTTTTTAATCTTCTAAAAGCACCAGAGGATAGCAATTCTCTAGATAAAAAAATTGCTAAAAGCAAATCCTACCATTTCATTTAAAAATATGGAGATAAAACACTTCAAGGCCTCTTTTGCTCCTCCATCACGTGAAACCATTCACTGACTTTGACCCAAATCTTCTCACACTCGGCTTCCTCCTAAACTGCATCTCTGTGAATTAGGTTATAAATTGAAACCCATGAGCTCAAGCCTCATATTCTCCCCTCTTTTGCAAAGGCAAAATGATCCATGAGAAAGCCCTCCTGTTCTTAAATTGCTGAGTTATGTAAGGGATTGTATGTGGTGTTTGTCAATCCTTCTACCCCATGGGCAAAGGGTCGTATCTCCAGTGACAAGAGCTCTGTTTGGATGAGGATAAAGAATTTCAGCATGGCATAGTGTGCTGCAAAATTGTGACATTCATTCAGCTCTGCATAATACAAAATAATCCCTTCATGCTTGAAAATTTTGTTAGTTAAAAAGAAATGTGTATAATTCACTTTTCTATGGGTTTTCTCTTTGGGGGATGAAAAAGAGTGATGATTTTCATGAAAACTTTCAAAAAGACTGATGTGACATATCAACATTCATCCATGTCAGGAACAACTGCAAAGAAAACATTCAGTTTCTGTTAGACCAGAATAAATGAAATTATGTTGCTCCAGAGCTTCTTAACAGTGATTTTAGATGTATATAACAAAACTCTTCTCTCTGCTTCCTGTCTTTCAGTTCTTCCCCAGCAAATCCAGGCACTTGGAGTTAAAGATGATGTTGTTTCTAATTGTTAGTGAGTCAAGGCGACCCTTTCCTTCTGATACAGCTCCTCACATCCACTCCAGATGCCACCAGCCCAGTGCTGCCTTTATTCCCATCCTTTTTTTTCCCATCCTCCTTTATCTCCATCATGCTGTCTCCAAGCTGTGTCCTTGTGGATCCCCGAGCAGCTGTGGGGAGGTTGCACATGTGCAGCTGCCTCGAATTCAGTGAGCAATTTTGTTGAGAGGAAGTTCCAGCTGTGCACTGGCTCGGGAGGATAACGGGATTAACAAGCAGCAAAATTATCCTTCTGCCTTTACTGCTGGAATCACAAGATAGGGTTGGAGAGAATCATTGAGTATTGAGTCCAGTGACCTGCTACTGCAGGCAATCAGATCAGGTAATTCCCCCAAAGCAGGATCATGCCCCACTATAAAAATCAGGCTAAAACTGCCAATCTCCACAGGGCTGGATCTGCTGGATGAGCACTGAAAGGAGATCCAGCCTCCAAGGGCAGAATTCCTCCTGGGAGCAGGCGCTTCTCACCGTCTGAACACCATCAGGTCGTGCCAAAAAACTGGGAAGACAATGTCAGCTCTATTTACCTGACCTTTATTTTTTATTAGCGTTCTTAAACTTCAGATAAAACACATTGTTGTGGCTCCTGTGACTCGATAACCTCGTCGAAGAACGGAGCAATCCATTATTTATCACATGCCAAAGGCCACGCGCTGCTCCGCAGCTCAGTGTTAGTATTTAAGTTGAAAAAGCAATCACGTAGCTGAGATCAGGCTGCTGAGGATATTTGTCAAGTGCATGTAAATAATACATTAGAAAGAAAAAGGAGATGTGAGGTAGTCTGGCTTCAGTGAATAAAACCCAAATTTGCTCACAACTGTGTACACACAACAAACCGGCACATCGCAGAGCGCTTGGGAGTTTTCTAGAGGTGGGTTTTGGATGAAGATCCAGGTGAGGCAATAAAAGCCATGGAGAAAATTTCTAGAAGGGGCAGAAACACTGGCTCCATCTTCTTCAACAGGACATCTCATCATCACTGGTCTCATCCATACATATAAGTATCTCCAAGGGGGTCAGAGGATGGTGCCAGACTCTTTGGTGCTGCCCAGAGACAAGACGAGCAATGGCCATAAATAAAACACGAGCAGTTCCACCTCAACATAAGGAAGAACTTCTTTCCATGCAGGTGGCAGAGCACTGGAACAGCTGCCCAGGGAGGGTGTGGAGTGTCCCTCTCTGGAAACATTCCAAACCTCCCTGTGTCACCTGCTCCAGACGACCCTGCTGAGCAGGAGGGTTGGATTATCCCTAAATATCCCTTCCAACCTCAGCTATTCTGGGGTTCTGTGACATGCTAAATTCAGCAATTTCCACCCACATCAAGAGGCTCATTTTAAAGCCAGCATTGTATCCTGTTGTATCCTGTTGTGCTGTAAACTGAGGAACAGATCAACACTGATATTGCTCCCATCCAAACGCTGTATAGGAAATTCAGCTGGAAAACCAGCCCTGCTCCCACAGATGCCATTGTGCTACTTATCAGCTGGATTTTCCAAATAACCCAGGCCCTGGAGCCTGCTGAGGCTTTCTGAAAATCTCCCTACTTATCCTGGGAGCTCAGCCTTTCCCAGCCCTCACCAGGGAAAGACTTTCTGACATTCTAAGAGCGAGAAGGAGCCCCTGGACAGCAGAAAGCATTTCCTACTGTCTGCTCCCCCCTCCCAAAGGCACACTATTTCTCTGCTTTCCCTTTCAAAACCTGCTCTTTTTTCCATGAACAAACCCCCAATAATCTGTAATTTTTACACTCATTAGTTACCAGCTCTTCAAGGAAACTAAATCAATGCTCAACAGCTGCTCTGGTGTGTTGGAGAACTCCAAACCCAAGATATTTTTCATGAAACAACCTCTCCTCACATTTACCCCACAAGTATATGCATTATTTCCTGAGGATATTTGGATTATTTTAAGACGTTTTCTGTTTCAGATGATCAAAAAAGCATTTTGTATTTGGTTTTGTATTAAAAAACATATTGGGAAGCACATCCCCATCCACTCCAACAGCAACTATAACCCTTTTACCAGTATAAATATTTAAAAATCAGATGCTTGTGCTCACTGCTATCACACAGAAGGTATTAATTGTTCCATAGCACTGCCCTGGCATGTTCTTGTTTTCTTCTGGAAGCCTCTATCAAGAATTTCTTGGAGACAGTGCTATAAACTTTCCCAGCTTAGCCCAACAACAGTATCAATTACAAAGGTTTGTTTTCTCTAAAGTTAATTGGTTACATGTCTTCATGAAAGCAATCAAATAACACAGATTTTCTTTTTCCCCCAAGGAAATTAAAAAAAAATAATAATCTAACTCCTCTCAAATGCCCAGTGTTCAGCTCCAGGCTTTCATAATATCTGTACTCTCAGGATATGTCAGGTTGAGGACAAAAATAATTTCTAATACTATAAAGAGCAGAAACATATCTATTTTTAGGTAATTAACACTCATAATGCCCCAAAACTTAAGAAGCCTTTTTATTGTCTTTTAGACCTTAGCAATGACAATTTTCTCTCTTTGCAGCCATTTTTACAGAGTTGCTCACAGGCTCCTGGAATGCAGGAGCTGTGTCTGTGATGTAATCTAAGGTAACAGCACTCCAGAGATCCATATTCCCTGACAATGCAAGGAGTGTTTCCCAGGTTTAAACACATGGAATAAAACCAGGCACACGTGCAGGTATGTGCCCTACCTGGAATGACCCTGGGGAAGGATGAGAAGACACCTGTTTGGCAGGTAAAGAGTCAGCCCTGTACAGATTCCTGGGAGGTCTGTATCCCCCATATCCTCCACAGTTTCATCTGGGAGAAACCAGGTCTGCTTCTTTATGGCATGTGATAAAAGGAACCCTGAGCATGTCAGCTCTCTTTGTGCTGATAAGGTACAGATCTGATTGTTCTGTGCAGCTCAATTCCAACAACACCTCCGAAATCCCGGGTGGGAACTGCTGCCTTTTCCAGGAATGGATTATTCACCACTTGACATATTTCCCCATTCTAAAGCTCAGCAGAGCCTCGGATCTACCTGATTCTGAACCAACCTGTTTCACTTCAGAAGGAAGGAGTCCCAGAGCAATGGCTGGTTCCAGGTCTACGTGTTTCATTCCGACCAGGGTGAATTTTTCCAGGTCCAGGTTTCTGAGGATCCTTGCAAGGTTCTGGCTCCAGACCCCGGGTTTGATGAGCAGCACCGTGCAGAGGACCTGGGCTCCTGGAACAAACACTCCCGTGAAACACACAGCAGGATTTGTTTACTAGCCTGGATGGACATCTGGAGATGAGGTTTATGGAAAAGCTGGCATGAAGTTCATAAAAATCTGAACAAAACAGGTCCATAAACCCCCCCCCATGCATCAAGGATTATTTATTTATTCTTTTGTTGGATTTTTAGTTTAAAAATACATCTAAAACAGTTAAGGCTTGGAGATTTTTTTCCCCCAGGAAATCTGCTCCAAGTCCAAGAAGTTTATGTGGCAGGTCTGTAGGATAAGACTCAAACCTTTCTATTGTACATTAATGTTTTAAGAGGGATAAAATATTCCCTTTTACATTTTTCATGTGAACTGTAGCGATTATGTGATGTAATCCTTAAGGCAGCTATTAAATTCTTATCCCTGTGTTCTGTGTCTCAGTTAGAGTTCTGTTTCAGAGAGGCACTAACAAGCCTGACAGGTCCCTATTAATGTCATAAACCCATTATAAATAGAATTGTGTTTACCAAAATTGACATTTCAGCAAAAACTTTCTGCTTCTGGCAAAGCTCTCCCAGCAGAGCTGCAGCACTATGAGAGGCAGAAAACAAACCAGACCAAGATAACTTCACTGTCTGATGGTAGAAAATGGATGTAAAGGCAGAAAATACATAAATTCCATTTTTAATGACAGCATTTTTGAGCTTTTAGTTTTGCTAAAATACTTACAACTAGGAGTATAGTTAATATTTTATCCTAATAACATCTCTTGAAGATTTATTGGCAACTGTTGGGTCAGAACCAGTTTGTGAGGCCGCAGGAACTGCTGGTGCTTAACCATGTCAATCAGTATGAAGGAAGTGACAGGTGGTAAAACTGATCCAAGATTATCTGTGTACAAAATATGTCGTTTTATGTTTTCTGTACACCCCACTACTCATTATACAGATGTCAATGCAACAAAGCATCAACAAGGCTACCTGTGATTAAATGTTGTTATCTTCAGGTGGCAAGAAACAAGATTCATGGCAGGGAAATACAGGATTAAAAATATAAAGCAAGATTCCTGCCTTCCCACTTGAGATGGAAACCTAACCCTTGTCGTGCAGGGAGCCCTCCTATTAAAGATGTGCTATTTTCTTCACATCCTTCTTGAACAGAAAGGTTTAAATGCCATAGCAACAGCCTGCAAGTGCAGGAAGCTGCTTGGATCTGCTGAGCTGCTTGGATCCACCTTGGCTATCTCGATGTTCTGGAAGTGCTCATTGGCCTCCAGATGTTTTGCTCACCATCTGCTACATTTTTTGGGCAAATATTCTCATTCTTGTGCTTATGTGAATCACTACCTGCTGCATATTTATGGACTTCAGGTGCTTCAGGAGGGATTTGTCTCACATCACTTTGCTGTCTTGGTTTGGTCGAAGACAAGTGTTGAAAAGAGGTGGGACACCTTGTCACTGAGGGTTGGCTTCCTCCCCTCAGTGATTATAAGTGACAAGAGTTAGACAAAACACCACTAACTACTGCAAGAATTTCTGCTGATCTGGAATTACCAGAGGTACCTGTTTGGCAACCTAAAACCTGCTTGATTTCTATCTCCAGTTTCAGTGTTCAGTGGCCATCCCAGTTTCCTGGTCTTTACTACGTTTTTCTACTTTTTAATATTAATATTAATATTTTTTAGATCCATTCCTCAGAGCCAGTCATTTTTTCCCCCCAAAAAAATTATTACATAGGTTTTCATTTCATATCAAAAATACAGTTTATCTTATATGCTATTTATATGCAATACTTCAGACAGGTGTGTGACTTCAAATAAGTGTAAACTCAAGAGAAGCAGATACCAGATTTCCTGGCATGCTTAGGAAAGGGAGGTTATCACTGCCTGTATTCCAGCCTCAGGAAAATGTTGGTACAATCCTGATGGTTATTTTGGGCTGGTACATCTGGATGAGTTAGTTCCACCAAATCCTTCTCAAATGACATTTTTCCATTTGCTCTCCTCTCACCTGTGTGCAGGTAGGCAAACAGGGACTCTGCACGGCCTCTCCAGCTCCCACCCACTAAAAAAGAGAAGCAGAGAGACTGGAGTGAGTGGTCTGTGTGTTCCTGGAGAGTAACTGGAGGATGTTGCCATCATTTCTACATAATGCAGCCAAAAGTGTTATACTGGGGCATGCATGGCTTGATTTCAGATGTACTGGGACACCCTGGGAAGTGTCACATTTCCACCCTTCTTCACTAAGGCCAAGGGCACATGCTGAATGAGACTGCAAGTACAAGTCCTGTGGGTTCTTGGGTACCTTTTCTGTGATTTCAGGGAGTGGCTAACAGTGGTTTTAAGCCACCTTTGTGCTCCCAGTACTCCACAGTCAAGTTAGAAACCTTGTGTCCAGTGTAAATCCCAGAAGCTCAGGTTCTGTTTGATGTCCTCTCCTGTGCCCTTGGAAGCCAAGAAGTGCTGTGGATTCTGAGTACTGAGCCCAGCTCTGTTGATAAAACCTCACTGACACCCCCCAAAACAACCAGGAACTACTGCTCCAGTGGTTCTTCATGAGAGCAGAGCAGGGTGAAAGGATCTGGTGAGTCAGAACTTAGGACAAAAGCCTAGAGAAAAATGTTTCCTTCAGTCTAATGTAAAACCTGCAGTGACCTGGAGAGGTGAGGAAAATTAAGGCACTTCATGTTCATGTGAAGTGAGAAATTATCTAGATCTGGGGCACAATGAGGAGAATCCTGCATCAGATTAATAAAAGACTTCCTTTGCCAATGGCTGGCAAGTTTAGCCAGTGTGACAACAGAAAACTACAGTCTGTTCATCAAAACAAAATTACCATTTTTGGGGTATTTATTACTGTCCAAAATCCACGTATTTCTACTTCCCAGGACAACGTATCTGGAAGGTATCTAGCCAAAGTGTTTTTCTTCTAATAAGACCTCTTTCTCTTTCCACATGGTTGTTGTTTATTTTGCTGGAATAGTGAGAGCACAAATAGGTGGAATCAGCTCCCAGGTCCTTGCCTCGTAACTTTTTAGCTCCCATCCTCACAGTACCAATTTTTTTCTTTAGGATTGGGGTTATTTGAGAGGATCTGTGAATTCCATGGTGACCTGGGTGGCACTGTGATGTAAATGACAGGGAATGCCCGTTCTGCTCTGATTTGTCACTCACTTGGGCAACAGTGATCAAGACATTTCACCTCTCTAAAACATAATGCAACTCATCTTTTTTTGAGATCAACATCTGAAAAGGGCTGCTAAAAAGCAGGTATTAATTACTCTTCCAGCCTAATTTCCACAGCAACCCTAGACAGGTCACTCTCAGAACTGCATGGGAGAAAGGTGATCTGGCAGTCCACCTTCTCCCAGCACCAAGTAGACCCATCTGGCCCTAATTTCCTGGGATTAGGATGTCTAACCAAAGGTTTACTAATCCCCTTTTAATGGCTCTGACAGAGGACAGTTACAGTTTCCTTCAATCTATTTAAGAGCATAGGCTAACTTGTTCATATCCAAGAGGCAACTGGGACATATTTCTGGTCTTACCTTCAGCCCTGGACCTCCTGCCAGGTGGTGGCAGGTATTTCATGGCAGGGCAGTGTTCTTCATCTGTAAAAGGAAGGGGATGTATTTTTATGGATTGACAGATGGGAAACCTTCACTGTCTGGGGGTAAGGGGTGACAAAGGTAAGTTTATTTAGCTGGGGAAATGGCAGACGTTTGACCTGCTACAAAAATATTAAAGAGCTGTTCTCTAGCACAAAGGCCTCTCCATTTCTCCCACAACCATAAAAACAAGAGGAAAAATGTAATGATCCCATAAAAGAGATAGTGCAGGGTGTGGAAGTCATGCCTGAGCTGTGCTCCTTTGTTCCTGACAATGGCTTTGGTGGGAAAGGCTGGCACTGCCATCACAACCTCCCTCAATATACTGAGCTCACAGCTCTGCTTCCCTCTTATCCTGCCTTTTCATCTCAAGATGACTTTAATCAAGGGCTGCAGTGCATGAATTCTTACTGGTTTATACACTAATTTGGGATGTCTGATGCCTCCATTTCTGGAGGCCTCCTCTTCTTGCTCGCCAGTCTCACATAGAACTCCCACATAGATCACTAACAAATCTAACTTTCTGTGAGACTAAGCTAAGGATCTTTTCCCAGACAAATCACATTTTCTTCTTTCTGTTCCCCACAGCCAATTTGTTACTCCACACTACACAGGCAGAGAGTGTTTGACACAAGTGTCTAAGTTTGTGTTGACAACAAAGGACCTTTCTTCCCCAAGGAAAGATAAAGGAAGAGCTATAAATTCGAAGCACGAATGCACTTATGGAACTGTGTCACTGCTCTGCAGTTGATACATGGTGTTACCACAATCTTGATTTCTCTCTGCTTCTGACTAATCACAGAATCGCAGAATGGTTTGGGTTGGAAAGGACCTTAAAGCCCATCTCATTACAACCCCCTGCCATGGGCAGGGACACCTTCAGAAGTTGACAGGCTCAGAGCTGTTTATCTCTGGGCTTGAGGAGTCAGGCAGCCCAAAAATGGAGGTGACATGGCAAAATATTTCACATTAAAAGAAAAGAGTGGAAGCTTGTAGTCTGCTGCTCCAAAACATGCAATACCAATAAACCCCCAGTCTGCACGGTGATTTAGTTTTAAGAGGCATGGCTATACATCTCCTGGTACAGGAGCAATCTACTGTGCTGAAAGATTGATGCTGGCACATATCACTGAAGCCTGAGAAGCTTTTGACAACAAAGGTCTCCATTCCTCTGTTCATTCCTGTCCAGGATAAAAAGAAATTCTCAAGAAATCTGCTTTCTTCAGCTCCTGCAGATTGGTCACACCTTCATCTCCCTGAGTCCAGGGCAAGGCCGAGGCATCAGGCCCCAACAAGTTTGGCACCACAATCAGTGTCCTCTTTAGGTGGAAGAGGTCTTGGCCCTGTTCTTCAGTTTCTCTACTATAGAAATGTAAAACGCATGGTGTTATTTACTGGTCCTGCCAACTGCTCTGATATCTATCAGTACTTATGGAGCACCTCGAGATCTTCAGAAAGGGCACCAGGCCAAGCAGAGCCACATTAATTTAAGAAGCCAACTAGCAGATACCCTCAGCTGGCTCCTGCTGATTTCATAGCCTTCATCATAATTCAGCCAAGTACAGAATTTAGCCCCAAATTATGAAGTTTTTCTGTGCCTGAGAAAACCCATAGCATTGGATTCCTTCGCCCAAGTTCAATTAATTCCCAAACACCTTATCCCTGAGGATAATATAAATAGTAACAACATGTCTTACCAGTTACAAAATCAGCCTCTGTGAAGAAGAGGACGGCTTGTCTGAATGTCACCTCTGGAGTCAAGGCCATTACTGCCTGTGGGAGACTTCCACTCGTGGTGAGCTTCTCCCTACACTGTGTTAATCCCTCCAAGACACCTGCAAGGGTTTCGTAGGCATCGATCCCCCGGATCACGCACACGAGGACGGGGTTGGACATCAGTGTGTCCAGGCTCCTCTGCCAGTGAGTATCTCCAGCCTCAAAAGGAGTTATTTCTCTGGCCTGCCATCGAGTGAGGTGGGGCAACCACTTCAGGCCTAGGAGCTCAAATCCTGACTCAGAGTCTTCTGCAAGTCAAGAGAAAAGTGTTCAGCATCAGACAGCAGCAAGTGTTTCATGGGAGCTCTGTTTGCTTTTGGAGACAAATGTTCTGACTTCACACTGATTTTTTTCACTAGACAAGTTCCAAAGCTGCTTCACCACCACCCATCCAGAATGGACTGTAATGCAGATATAGGAACATACTGGGAAAACCCACAAGACACAAATGCTAGGAAATAACATTACAGTGAAAAGAAAAAATGGGCTATCTGGGAAATCAACAGGGAGCCACAGGGAGCAAATGCCATGATTTAGACTAGAGAGCACAGCTAATGGAGAAGAGTTGAAAGGCAATCTCTGAGAATACACTGACAACAATGTGGCTTGGCACAGCATAATCATAGATCCTTTAGCACCTCTCATAACATTCCACTTCAAGCAATGTTCATTATAGTAATAAACTACAACAGAATGCTGACTTGTCTCTAGTTTAAATGTTGTTGTGTTTGTAAAGTAGTCTTACTGCAATGTAGCAAAATATTTAGGGACTCAATCCATGAGTGCTGGAAGTTTCTGTCAGCTGGGGTCTCATGTACAGAACTTACTCAGGAGTATTTCAAGTAGTATTTCAACATAGCTTTAGGAGTAGGATGCGACACAGTATAAGACAGGGCCAGACTTCTGCCCTTCGTGCATACACTTCCTGTATTATTACACTTCAGTGCAACCTGCATCATGAAATTATATAAAATCATCATCCTGCCTAGGGCTTGACAGCCCTCTTCATGCATGTGTGAGCATTTAACACGGGCATGGCATCGGTTTTCCTCCTGCGCACGAGGAATCGAAGCGTGAAGCAGTGAAGTGTCTTGGTTCTGCTCACAAAGGATATCAGAGGACAGAACAGAGGCTGTGACTTCCAAATTCCTGTTGCTGTGCCCCAGTTACAGTTGCCTGATCTCCCAGTACTTAGGGAGAGACATAATGCTCTGAATTACATAAAAGCTTAGTAATTCTAAGCACATCTTTAAACTGGTTTGACAATCTCTGAAGAAAATTATGGCCACCTGAGCTGTTTGTGATATGAAATGTGGCCTTGCCCATAACAAGTCATGACAAATTCTTCAGCTCTTTAGGCAGGTGAACAAAGAAACCTGTTCTTCTTCCACTCACCACATTTTCCATGATGTTCCTGCTGTGATAAAAACAGTTGGCCAGGATACACTTCCCTGACCAAGTTCCCCAGCCCTCCCCAAGAGCTGGGATCACCTGCACTCTGAGGCTGGTTGTTAAGCCCAGGAAACAGGATCTGGTGAAGGAGCTCTCCAGCACTTTTCATGGTCTCCATTCCAACCAGAGTCAGCGTCACAACTTGCTCCATCCCAGGATCAGCAGCGTATGTTCGGTGGTGGAAAAAATCCAGAGGAATGTTGTGGGGCTCTGGAACTGCGCTGAGGTTTCCTCCTGTCCAGGGAGATGATCAAAACCAAAACTGTTACCCCACAAAAACAAATCTCAGGTCTTTTTTACTGTGAAGGAATGAATTCTCAACCAAGCAAAGGCCAGTGTTTCACTGTCTCCTCACGCTGCAGCTCAGCATGGCCAGGAAAAGGTTCCTGCATGAGGAGTGTTATCACAGCAAACTCCCACTAATTAGTCCCACTCCTTCCCTGGAATTACACTTTGCCACGTAAAGCAAATATATTCACATGTAATTTTGATATCCTTATTCACATCCTTAAGCAGAGTTGATAGATCTACACCAAAGTGAATGAAGGCATCAATTTTGGATTGATAACTGGTGTTTGACTTCACGTGAAATCAACACCTCATTTTGCTTTCAAGGAGATTACAGGGCACACAATTGAGAGCTAATCTGGGGACTGCTGCAACACCATGCTTGTATCCACGATCCTGTTGGGAACAGTATAGCCTGTGTTTCACTACCTAATTATATCATACTGTTTTCACTACCTAATTGTTAAAGCCATTGTATTGATAAACATTTATTTACTGAGTTATTCCTATACTTTAACATTCCATAATGCTAGAGAATGGTGAATAATATGCATTTGATGATTATTTTTCCTTATGATTTAGTACGAATTCAGTTTTGGAAAGTAACATATTTCAACTAAAAGTCCTGACATCCAAAAATTCGAATAATTTAATTAAATAAATCTATATTAACCTGCTTAACATGCAAGAAACCTGTAGTTAGTGAAATAAATATTTGGTTACCAGGACCTTCAAGTGCACAGAACTAGTAGGTTTAAGACTCTCCCACCCATGTGAGTCACAGCTTTAAAGCAGAAAACCCATTTCCTTGCTGTTTCAAATCCTATCAATTTCCCAGCTTTGAATGAATGAGTTACTAAAGTGAATTCGACTGTATAAACTGAAATTAAGAATATCTGAGTGAAATGAAATTGAAAAGTGCCTTTTCTGCACCTACAGAAAAAGTAGAGCTGCCATCATTTATCACTTCAGCATATTCCAGTTTTACACACAACCACTGATTTATCTCATTTCAATATTTTGACTTCTCTTGAAACTATGGCAATAAATATCAATAGACTGAATATTAATCTTTTAACTAAATATATTAATTAAGGCTTAACTGGATATTATCATGTCACATTTAAATAATTTCTTTTTGCATGTCTTTTTAATTAACTTTAAAAGTATTTTCATTTTGCTTTTCTATTGATTCTTCCATTCATTACCTAGCAGAAGAATGCAGCCAAATGAGCATTACCATGATTGATGGACAGCAGAACAGTAAATGAGCTATTATATAAAAAAAGCATATTCCTAAGGGTTTCATGCAGGAAAATGCTTTAATAAGGTTGTAACACCTTATGGGGCTGCCCCATCCCTGGAAGTGTCCAAGGAGCAACCTGGTCTAGCAGAAGGTGCCCCTGCCCATGGCAGGAGGTGGAACGGGGTGGTCTCCAAGGTCTCTTCCAACCCAAATCATTCTCTGTGTCTGTGATCCAATAAAAGCCAGGCCAATGCATTTCCCACAGCTCTGACCTACCCAGGGCCTGCAGCGAGGTCTCGGCGTACGGAGCCACGTGGAAGCAGACGGAGGCATCCAGGCCAGCACTCACAGGGGGGCTGCTCTGCCCACTGCCAAGGCCTGGCTGTGCCAGCTCATCCATCAGCCCTGTGCAGGGAACAGCAGCAAACATGAGGGATACAGAGCTCTGACATGAAAACCCTCTGCTATCAAATGTTTGATTCATGTGAACACAGTTCCATCACAGAGACATTAATGTGGGTCACGCTGAGCTTACCCAAGACATGAAATGCACCTGAACCATCTCCTCTCCCCCAAATCATATTAATCACTTCAGTGGGGCAAGTAGTTGTTGAAAATTGAGGCTGGGCCACAGCTTTCTCTGGAGACACCTCTGCTTTGGGAGCAGCACCCCAGTTGTTTCTGTCACCTTCTAACTCCTGCTGTGAATGTGCAACAAATGCACAGATGCTGCCACACAGCTGAATTAGAATAAATATCTTAAATAAGTTGGTATCCACTAGCAAGAGTCACAAATGTGAGCCCAGAGCTCACGTGGAAGCCCTCAAGGTGTCTGACACCCAAGGCATGAGGCCAATGTCCTGCATCCCACACGGCACCACGGGAACACGGAGCTTTCAGACCTGAACAGAGACACCATGTTCTGCTCATGTAACTCCCAGCCTGGAAAATATCTGATTCCACACCACTTTCACAGACACTAAGTGCTTAAACCCAGTAATCTCTCAGCTTCATTGCTGCTCCAAAGAGCTGGGCTGCACACAGGCAGTGCATTAAGGGACTGGCATATGCTACACTTCCACAACAATTAGTTCAGCCTTCTGTAATAATATTTCAGACCACAGTTTTAAAGGCTTGTTATTTTTAAAATTACTTTGTACACATTTGATTGCTTTCTACCGTACAAGGCCGTCAAAAATTCACTCTAGTGGAACATGAGAAATGGATTATTGGTGCTGGAGGCTGATGGCAAAGCTCAGGTGTCAGATGTGCCACTGACAATCAAAATTCAGCAGGCATGAGGAACCAAAAACATGCCATCACTGTCACAGCATTACCTGCTGTTTGTTCAAACTCAGGGCATGGCAAAAGTAAAGTTTGGACATAAATATATAGTGTTTGATCCTCAAGACAGAGATCCTTACCCAAAACCACCTATTTATCTGCTCTATTTCAGGAGTAATTGTTTTCCTTGCTCTGAAAATTAAACAGTGTTCCAGATGTAAAGGGGTAACTGCTTTTCAGGGGTAGTGATTATAAGTGCAAAACTTCTTAGTGAGGTATTTATCCTACTCAAATCCCAGTGCTGTTCTTCACTTCCCAGAGGCCAAACCAAAGCTTGTGTGGCAAGAATGTTAGCTTCCCCTCTCCAGGGCTCTGGAACATGGACTAAGGTAACTCTCTGGGTCAGTTCTGAAGCACAGGACTGATGCAAAGAGCACAGAACACATGGAAAGAGGCATTTGCAAAATCTGTCTAGAAACAAAGGAAAAAAACCTGAGTTCCCTACAATGAGGGAAAACATTTTACCTTTCCAGACTATGCTTTGTTCCAGTCCCACCTATATATTTCCAGTGGAAATTTCCCTGTGCAAAACATCAACACTGTAAACATCCTCTGTGGCACTGAGAAAAGGAGCAGAAACTGTACTTTTTAATAAGCCACTTCCTTTGGGTGTAGAGGCAGCAGGTGACATAGGGCTCTAATTATTCTGCCATGATTAATCCTCTGTGTCTGCACATGTTTTCAGAGCAGTCTGTGATAGTCTCAGGAGAAAAAGCCCAGGACTTTTTCAATTGCCATTTTTTTCCCCAACCTCTAAAATGGACAGATTAAAGGAAGTGACTGGGCTGTGGATGAATGTCCTCCTCATGGGCTATTTGTGGTGGTGTTAATGGAGGGGTCAGTCACAGGGACCCCCTTCTTGGGAAGAGCCAGGCAGGGCAGGATTTCTGTTCCCTCCTGATCACACTGATCTTCCCCACTTGAGACCAATGTCAACTCATCCTTAAGAAAACCAAATCATGTTTTTCCTGAACCAGAGCCTCAGCACAGTTTCATTCAAGTAAGAAGATTTGGGGCAGCAACTTGACTGTTTTTGGCAGTCCCTAAATACAAAATGAGTAACTTTTCAGGTCCTTGGAAGTCACAAGTACGTAGGACTTGGAGCTGGTATTGGTAGGATGAGATGCTGCCCTCAGGCTCAGTGGCACATCTGCATTTTGGCTGTCCTACCTCTGTATGCAATAAGAATATCTGAGAGCAGGTTATTGAGGTCATATAATCATAGGAAGTCCTGAGCTGGAAGGGACCCACAAGAATCGCTGAAGTCCAACTCCTGGAAGTCCAACTCCTGGCACTGCACAGGACAATCCCAAGAATCCCACATCATGTGCCATGTGTGTGAGATGACAAAGTCAGGCCCAGTATGGAGGTGTACAGAGACAAGGCTCACAAATTCAAGCAGGGGAGGCTCAACCTGACATAAAGAAGAAACAGTTCCCATAAGGATGGTCCAGCATTTGAACAAAGCCCCAGAAAAGCAGGGGAGCCTTGCAGATTTTCAAGACCTGACAGGAAAACCCCCTGAGCGTCCAGATTGGAATTCACTGCTGATGCTGTACTGAGCAGGAAGTTGGATGAGACCTTCTGAGGTCCTTTCCAAAAGGAACTACTCAGTGATTCTAAGTTCAAGAGGACTCCAGTGCTAAAATCAAACACCTGGCAAAGATCAGCCTGCTCTGTTGAATGGGTAGTTGTGACTGATTCACACCTTGGTCTGGGGAAACGTACAGAAAACTAGCAGGCCTTGATATTCTCCATAACTATTCCCTGTACTGTAACAGCTGTGGTCAGACTGCTAATGTTTAGCTCACACACAGTGAACTGCAAACCTCCTTCCCCCAGGTTGTTGAGCAGGGAAAGCATTACCTTTCACCAGGGCAGGAATGTGATGACTTGCATTCTCCTTCCTCAGCAACAAAACGAGGCAGTGCCTCCGTGGTTCAGCTGGGAGTTCTCCCCTTGCAGGACTATCAGGTGAGCTTGAGCTCTTTCCAGGGCAAAATACAGCAATCTGAAATAATGAGGGCAAGTCAGACTGCTAAATCCAGATGTAATTACTATGGCACTCCAGCAAATAGATAAATTGTGATGGCATAACAAGATACAGCTCAACACTGAGGCACAGGAATTTTCAATATCTAGGTGTTCATGCATCACCTATTCATGAGGCAGAGAAACTTAATTTAAACCTCAGGGAAGAGGCTTTACATAAAAACATTCTGCCCTGGAACTGGGCTGGGCCAAAACCACAACAGTGGTAACGGAGCTGAAATGTGGTACCACTTTAAGTCACTCATACAAAAATGATCTTGAGTCCCAAATGAAGGGATGATTTTCAGAAATTTTAGCTCCAAACAGCACATTGGAGCCATAGCTGCTGCTGTTAACTTCTTAATGGCCACTCAGGATCGTGCTCCAAACATCTGGTTATTTGGCCTGTAGTATTCCATGGATAGGTTATATTCATCCTAAAAAATATCATGGCCAGGGACATTATTATTCCTTAGGCTTAAGCAGAAAAGAGGGGATTTGTACAGTTTAATTTGCAAAATGATGTATTTCCTGACTGACATAGCAAACAATGCTCAGCATGATAATTTGAAGTCAGGGATCTGCTCCTTTGTGAGAGAAGGTGCCATAAGATTTCTGTGTGATTTATAATGTACGAAGTGCAGCACTGGACTTCTTGCACACGTTAAGTTTGACTGCAATCTTGCATTTATGATTACTATTGTTTCCTTAGGCTGACTTGTCAAAATGCCAACTGCGTTTTAACTCAAATCTATCATCATGTTAGAAAGAGGTTCAAAGAAAAAAAAAGTTAGTTTTGATAACAGGAAAGCTCTTTTTGCAACGCGTTTGGAGTGCATTGAACTAGGGGACTTCCTGCTGAAAGGCCCCGATGGACTGTGAAGTACAGCACCAAATATCAGTCTGTTAGTGAAGACTGTTCTCCTGAACACACCTTTGCAGATCAGAGAGTGTTATTTTGGTTCATGGGGCTACTTGCTTTTCTGAGATCAATGGTAAAATTCATATTTGTTTTAGTAGGAGGAGGCCCCATGATGAATTTACACTCCTGTTCCTAGTGAGAGGCCAAGGCCTGGTGGGATTTTCCTACTAGAGAAAAGCCAGCACTGAAAGCAACCCGAGTGCTGCTCCCAGGAACAGGGAGAACACGAGTGCTGGATAGCTGGAAAAGAGGGAATGGGAGTCCTTGGAACACTTACTAGAGGAGCATTGGCATAATTAGTTCCAGACCAAGGGGTAACAGGGTATACAACTCGCTGTGTTCTGTCCAGTACCTGCCTTGTTGTCATGCTCAGCACAAGGCCTTGCTCAGGTGAGAGCTGCAGCTGCCTGAGGCCCTGCAGGACAAACCCCCGACGAGCGGAGACAGACATCACCCTTCCATAGGCACGAGGAGACACCACAGGCGACACCATCAGAATGATGTCCCCTACATCAAAGAGAGGGTAAGGAAAGCAGCGTGTTATTGTCACAGAAGCTGTGGTACCAGTGCAAGGCAGCTCTCACAGTGGGTGGTTCCAGCTTGAAGCACATCCCAAATGGTGACACTGTGTTTTACAGTTTATTTGCTATATCCAGCTCATGACTGCAAGCCAGGGCCACCCTAGGATGGAAAAGCTTATGGCACCATCAGTAATTTCTTTATGAGTCATACACTCCAGATAGCCTGTCTCATCAGGTCTGGGAGGTCTGTGGCTCAGCTCACGTGCAGGCAGTGTGTCACCCCTCTGGGGACTGGGGGCCTGATAAGCCTGGCCACACGATGAGTAACCAAAGTCAACAAGGACAGCTTGTTCTTAAACAATTTCTCTGCTACAAAGTGCTTGAAGCAGCCCCAGCCATTCCTCTCTGCTGTTACTGGTAGTCCCAGCCTGTAGCTGCTTCTGCAATCCTGCTCAGCACCACCTTCTGCTTCCTCTTGTCCCTCCCTTACTCCTGTCTCTAACCTTCATCCTGAAGCTTTGGACCAGGCTGTGATCATGATTTCACCTCACTCTTTGGTTTGGAACCATCTGGGGCCTCAGAGGTTCCTTGGTCATCATGACAGTGGTACCAGCCTGCTCTGTCCTACCTGATCCTCATCCCCTGGGTCTGGCTGCTTGAGCTCTCCTTGTGCCCCTCACCCCAGTAGAAAAGGTTCCATTGGGTTAGAACCTTGGGTTTGAGACTCCTGTTTTGTGAATTGCATCCCAAGCTCACTGCCAACACATGCTATGAGCGAGACCAGGAACAAGAGACTACAAGACCTCCCAAGCAGTCTAAGCCCCATCTTAGGCACTACAAGACAAGATCAAGACTTTTCCCTGAAGTTTCTAATCTATCCAAGGTCTTTGCTTCGTTCTAATCTTATTTTGGCTGTTTTTACCATCACCTTCATTATCACACCTTCCTAGCTCTAACACAGCTTTTTATCCCTCACAGTGTACATTCAGATCTCATAACCTGCCAATATTGACCTCTGAGGACAAAGCCTCAGTGCCACTTCTACATGGGTTTCCTCTACACTGCCCCATTAATTTCTCTTAGCTCTAATCAGGTGATGTGAGATTGGAGGATTTCAGTCTCTGTGTCCTAATTACACTTGTTTTGGGGGGTAGGACAGCTACTATTTCTTTTTTTTTTATACTTTGTGGTATGAATAACCATCCTCCCAAGAATCTGACCAAGGCTCAGACTGGTAGTTCAAAGCAACAGCACCCAAACAAGAGAAACCTTGTGTTTAGCACTAAGGATGGGACAGACAGGGTGTTTCTTTGCCTAAAACTTCTATTTGGCTTTACCACTGACTTTATGCCAGACATTCATTATATGGGAACTGTCAAAATACAGGGATGTGGGTGGTAAAATTTTGGTTCCTTTCTAGTTGACAACAGTCCTAAAAAATATTTCTTGCATATAAAAAACCCAAATCAACAAAAATACCTGCTAGGGTGACTAAAACTTGGATTATTGAGAAGGGGCAGATCTACCTGGTGGGAGATGCAGTACATCTGCTCTGCATGGGTAAATATTGCTGTCTCCAAGAGAAGCTGCTGGAACCCTGAGGGAAGGACTTAGTGAATGTTTCCTTTCCTTAAAACCCCACAGAGTGTCTGCTCCCAGATCAGATTTGCAGCTTCCCTTCCGAGAGCCATGATCCAGCTATCTTAGGAATGAAGCTCAACAGTGACTTCCTGAGCCCAAATATACATGGAACGTGGTGTGGTGTAACTCAGCAGCCCACAGCAACTGTGAATCATTAATGGCCATAAAAGGAAGGGGAGGCAGAAAATGTGACTCATTCCATCAGTAGCCACCAGCTGCCATCAATCCCAATCCCAAATAACAGAGCCAATGGGTGGCTGCCAAAGTACCTGAGTTAACATGCGCTGTTGTACCAAAGATATTTCAAAACTGAGATTTGTTTTTTTGCTTTCTCCCTTCTCCATTTTCCTCCCATCACCCTCTGTCACTTTGTGTTCCTTTCATCTTTTTGCTTACGCTCTCATCCTTTTCTCATGGATTTTTTCCCTTTGGCAGTGTAATTTCCCATGCTTTCTTTCTCTGTCACTTCAATCCTGCTTCCCTTCTGCCACCTTCTCCCTGACAGCTGCTGACCTTCTGCTCCCCTCAGGTTCCATTCCTGTGAAACTATCAACTGTGGGAGCAGAAACCAGCCACTAGTGCTCTAAACATTGTTCAAAAATCCCCTTGCACCCCAGATCTGCTGTGCCAGGCCCCACTACAGAAGTCTGTCAGCACATTGGCCTTTACAGCAGGTACCCCAACACCAACGGGATCCTTCTTAGCCAGGTAAGGCCTTGGCAGGTGTCCCTTGGACACAGCCTGCTGCTAGTTAGGTACCAGTTCAGAAAACAAGAAAACTCCTACAAAGGGAAAAGGGGTATTTGAGTGGAATCAGCTTAATGCAGTGCTCCCCTTTCTGACTGCGTGGTCAATCCTGCCCTGAATGAAGCCTTAACCATCTAATTCCCCTGATGATTATATTCAGCTCTTCACCAGGAGAGGCAGATGATCTCTGATCAGATAAACAAGCAATTTAAGGATTCTATTAGGCCTTTGCTATGTCTCTGATGAACAGGCCCCTCTGTGCAGAGATTTCCTGTGCACTGTTTTTTTGTTTCTTTTTTTCCCTCCTTCAGTGACATCTAAGCAGCCTGGAGGACTCCAGCAGCTGCCTCCACGAGGAGGTTGATGTGTAACACTTCTCTGCCACTTCATCATAGGAAAAATGTTCCACTAGAAATTCATTCCTGGCTCTAGAACTGGTCAGGTCACAGCCCTGAGCAATCCAGGGAAGCAGAATTTCCTGAGACAGGTGGGCTGGGGCAAAGTGACATTGTCAGTGAAGAAGAACCATGAAAACTCCAGATGAATCTAATGCTGACCTTTGGTAGTTGAGACAAGCATGGCTGGATGTCGAGGCAGCATCCTGCTCTGGAGATCAATCTTTTCTTCATCTGCTTCTGTCCCAGCTGATGAAGGACCCTGAGAGCTACAGAAAAATGATAAATATTTAAAGCTGTTACACCAGATTCTGACTCAAAGCTACTTTCTGCAGCAAATCCAGGGCCACAGAAGCTTCTCTGGTAAAACTGCTTTACTGAAAAAGCCATTTCAATCCCTTGTCCCTGACACGAGCTGCATTGAGGTCTCTCTGACAGAACATTTTTATATTACTCCCCCTGAGGCTCTCTGTGTTCAATTAAAAGTAGCTAATGCAAAGTAGCCAGCTTGGCAAAGAAATCTGGGAATCAAGAAATATGTTAGGCTGCACTACCAGAGCTATTCCCACCCACAGACACATCAGAGTTGCTGTTCACATCGGGTTCTTTAGCCTGAGTTTAACCAGTTTGGAAGGTTCATGTTGGGCAACAAGCACGATCGAGCCTGGCAGAGATGTGCCAGGGAAACCTCTGCAACTTTCCTGCATATCCAGAAGGCCCAGATCAGGGCAGGGTGAACAGAAGGTGTGGTTTGGAAGCCAGGGACTGTCTGGGAACAGTTTGGCTGGGACTGTGAGCACAGGCTGCTCAGGCAAACCTGCCTCAGCCCCTCCGAGCTGGCTGGAATGCATCTTGCTCTCTGGAACACATCCTGCTCGCTCACTCCCAGGGGCCCAAGGCATCTGCAAGGATAATCTGCAAAGGGCCACCTGAGTTGCAGTTTGTCTTCCTGTCTCCCAGTGGACCAAATTACCAGCGTTAGGAGAAAGACAAGTGTATTATTTAGAATGTAGTGCTGCTCCAGACTAAGTTATACCAGAGTAGCAGAACTCATCATCTTTGTAAGAGGAAAATAAACAAACAAACAAAAAATAAAAATAAACCCCAAATAATAAATAAACTAAATAATAATATATCGCATATATATATAATTGGTATAATAATAAATTCATATAATAATGTATGTTTATATATTTATAGTAAATTTATAAGATACATAATCTTTAAATGTAAATTATAAATTCATAAATAGAAATTATATCTTTATGTTTACACATAAATGTATATGCAAAGCCGTAATATGAATTATTATCAATAAATTTATATAAAAGTATAAAATAATAGTATATATTATTACTATATATAGTACATATGTCAAGCAATAAATCAAAGTAAATGTTAAAATTTTGCCACATTGATTTTTTCCCCCATCTTAAAAATAAAAATTATGAGAGTGGCTGTTGATGGCCAAGCAGAGCTGAACTCTGACACACAATTCCTCCCCAGCACCAGGTTAGTTCCACATGGCTGAGCTTTGCCACTCTGCAGAAAGCACTGCCAGCACTGCAGCTGATCTCCCCCCCAGCCTGCTGCCACAGCCACTGTGCCACACTGCCCCCAGGAGCAGCCAGGATCCTAAAAACCTGTCCAGAACCTGTAGGTGCAGGGCCTTGCCTGAGCTTTCTGCAGCACTTTCACCACAGCATCATTGGTTCAGCAATGCTAAAAGGAGATGCCCACAAGCCAAAAACCCCAGTGCAGAGGCTGCATCCCATGTCCTTACACAGGCCTGTGACACAGATGTGACACCAGGGAGAGGAGAGCTGCAGTTTGATACTATGGAATCACAGAATCATTAAGGTTGGAAGAGATCTCCAAGATCATCAAGTCCAAACTTTGAATGAACACCACCATGCCCACTAATCTGCATTATGAAGGGCCACATTTACTCTCTTTTTGAACACTTTCGGGGCAGTGACTCCACCACAGCTGTACCAGGGTTTCACCACCCTTTCAGTGAAGAAATTTTCCTGAATATGTAACCTGAACCTCCCCTGGCACAATTTGAGGCCATTTCCTCTTGTCCTGTCCCTTGTTCCCTGGGAGCAGAGCCCAACACCCCCCCCCCGGCTTCCCCTTTCCATCAGGGAGTTGCAGAGAGTGAGAAGGTCCCCCCTGAGCCTCTTTTTCTCCAGGCTGAACTCCCCAGCTGCTCCTCACAGGACTTGTGTCCCAGACTCTTTCCCACCTCCGCTGCCCTAACAAGCAGGAAAGGGCCCTCTGAGCACAGCAGAGCCCTGTGTTCACACACAGGATTAAATGTGCTCCCTGGGCCCTCAGGTCTGAGCCTCTGTCCAGGAAGCTGCAAGATTGTCAGGAAGAGAAGAGATTGTTTTGTGCCATAGAAAGTACTCATCTCCATCAAGGAAAAGCTGCAGAGAGATTTGGGAAAGAGAGTGTTGATAAGGAGTGCAAGGGAGTCCAGCTGCAGACGGTGTGCAAGGTCTGCTGAGTGTCACTTCACAGAGCTGCTCAAGCTTTTCTCCCGTCCTCCTCTTTCCCTCACACCCCTCTGCTCTGCTGGGTGAGGCCAACAGCAGGTATTTTGTCAGTGTTAAAAACGTTCAGATTAAAAACCATGCAGTAAAGCCATTTTTGTCCAGGAGAGCCAAAGCGAGCCTTTGGGAGCTGCAGCTGCAGCACTGCACAGCAGCACAGGGATGATCAGGGCTGCATGATGGAATAATGGATGCTTAAAAGCCATTCCCAGACCCATCCAAGCACGACATTCCAGACTCCTGAACTTCACTTGTGCCCAGCCTATAGTCATGCCTTCACTTCCTCGTGCATTTCTTGTGCTGACAGCTAAAGGTTTATAGACACCCTTCATTTTCACACACATCTGTCATCATCCTCCAAAGAACCTTTTCCCTCTGAAGCCCCTTATCAGTTGATATGGAGGGACATAGCGCAAAGCTAGAGCAGGTTTCCTAGGAAAGGGCCACTCCTTCTTCAGCACCAAGTCTCCAAATCTTGCTGCAAGTGCATGAATTACCGGCCTTGCTACCAGGGAACAGGGGATGGAAAGTGTCCCACACCTGACACACCTAGGACCTGTGGGAACAGCCTGAAGTCGTGTCAGGAGAGGTTTAGGATGGCTCTCAGAAAGAGGTTCTTCCCCCAGAGGGTGGTTGGACACTGACCAGGCTCCCCAGGGCAGTGGGCACGGCACCAAGGCTGCCAGAACTCCAGGAGGGTTTGGACAACGCTCTTGGGGACAGGGTGGGATTGTCGGGGTGTCCTGGGCAGGGCCAGGGGTTGGACTCAATGATCCTGATGGGTCCCTTCCAACTTAGCATATTCTTTGATTCTGTGATCTGGTGCAGAAAAGAGGAGGACTTTTGCAAACTGTATAACTGGTTTGGAAACACAAGAGTAGATGGATTCCTTCCACCCTGCACTCCTGTTCCCCAGACCTTTAGCAGAAGGCTAACATGTAAAGAACACACTGCCTGTGGGAACAACACTCCCAGACCATCCAGACCATCACCTGGAAGGCAGATGCAGGATCCCAGTAGCCCTTCCTCCAAACCAGAGGCACAGCTCCCTGTGCACTTGGCTGTCCAGGCAGGGCAGGTACATGAGAGGCTCCTCTTGGCTCTTGCCGTAGATGGCATTGATGGAACCACAGTCTGTCACTCTGGCCAGACATGGGTCAGATGGCCCCACGATGTCCTGCAAGGTGCCACGTGCTTTAGGCCCTCTCACACACAGGGCCAGCACTGGTGGCACATTGCCAAACTCTGAGGTGTAGGAAGAAGGCAGCTTTTCTGTGGAAACAAACATATGTGTGAGTAAAACATGGAACAACCAGCCCCAAGGTCATTCATCCCACTCAAGTGCTCTGTCATAGCCAGACCTCAAAAGAGGAACCACCTGGTTACCTGCCCTGTGGGTCATATGCTGGCACATTTTTACCTAATACTAAATCTGAGATTATTCAAGGTGCTCTGTTAAAGACAGAGGAGTTGGTTGCCTCATATTTGCTGTGGAAAGGTGTGAGCACAGGGTTAGTGATTACAGAGCAGGTGATACACTGGAAGTGTTCCTGTCCATGGCAGGGGGTTGGAACTAGACAGTGTTTAAGGTCTTTTCCAACCCAAATTCAGCACTTTAGGTTCCTGTGCAGTCTGTTGTTCATGACCACAAGGTTGGGGAATGAAGTAGAGACAGGATAAGAAGAGGGTCCTGTGGAAAGGGATGTTTTTGAAGGGGATCACAAACTAGAAATTTGAAGACTTCTTTTCTACATTATTTCCTTCTGCATCAAATACAGATTTTGTACAATGCTGTAAGATCAGCTGTATCAACTCTTCCCCATGTCTCTGGCCAACCTTTTCCCATGTCTCCCAGCATAGCTGGGTCTAGGAAAAACAAAAAAACCCAGAAAAACCAAATTTGGCTTCTCTGCAGTTCTTACTGCAGCTGTTAGAAAAAGCAGCAAGGCTTCCCTTAGGTTTAAAAGCATATTCAAAGACATAATTTCTTGCATAAGAATCAGAAGCCAGAACATAAGTCTCTGGAGCAGGTAGACAATGAAGTAACTGGCTGTAAATACTTAAAATAATAATTTTCAAGTTTTCAAATGGGTAAAAGTCTAATTTACAAACTTGCCCAGTGTTTCTCAGCTCAAATGAATTGTCTCTTCATACAAAATGTTCTTAAGTAATAGTGCCTGGCACAGAGCATTGAAGCAGATCTGCTGCCTGTCAGCTCCTAATGACTGGTGATTTTATGGTTTCCTTATTCATTTCTGGAGTCCTCCTTCATTTCTCCAGCTATCACTAGGAATGTGTTACCTGCACAGCCCTGAGAGAACTGCAATCCCATGCCTAAGGCAGTCTGCTCCTCTTGCTTCCAAATGCAAAAAGGGAGCAGGGAGATTGGAGAATTTTCTCTGACGAAGCTGGTCTTCACTCACCTTCTGCCAGAGGAAAAGCAAACCCATTTCCCTCACTCTCAGCCTGCCTATATCTTTCCCATGGGAAACAGATTGTGTGTATGAGATGGTGTCACACACAAACCTTCCAGGAGAACCGCCTGGTTTAAAAGAAAGCACAAGCCAGGCTATATTACAGAGGTAATCTCTAAACTTTGCAGCTAATGCAACACCTGTCGCTCTGGAATTATGTTGCATTAGCAACTAATAATATTCCATAATGCTTTAAGACAGGTTTCACCATCTCTGTTTCTCAAATGGGAAAAAATAAAGACTTGAGCAGTACATGCCAATATTTGACACATTGGTGTCTAATGTTAAAGACTCTGTGATTTGAGTTCAGAGACCCAGATCATTTTTATTTACCTTATCTTGTTGGTCTCCCACCTCAGATGGGATTCTATTATGGGATTCTATTAAACAATATGACATTTTGTTGATGTTTTATCAGCCAATGCACTTACAGGACAGCTAGATCAGTACTTTGCCCATGCTTGTGAAGTCCTACAGGCAATGAGATGGGGGAATTGTGGAAGAGGAAGGCTGGATTTTCTGCAGCTAAAACCTTCAGCAACATAGTGGGGAACTAAATTATTATGTTTAACTCACATGATTCTAACCCTGGAGCTTAGAGCACTGTAGTTTGGGAGAGCTTGCTGCAAAGGAACAACTAAAGTCTGAGACACAAAAATGTATCAAGGGTTAAAAATTCAACTCATGGATATTCAACACTGGGAACAGAAGGAAAGAAACAGCCCAAGATATTGTATAATTTCTTTTGGGAAAGATATAGGGACTGATAAAGCAAATCTGACACCCTCTGCCCGTGCCAACAGCACCACATCACCCTTCACCTTGGATTTACAGATCTTTGTCTTCCCTTCAGCATCATCACATGATGTGAAGGAAAAGCAGAGCTCACCTGAGCTGGAGAGCAGCACATCCTGCTGGGGGTAGAGCAGGCGGAGGCCACAGACATCCAGGCCAGAGCTGAGCAGCAGCTGCAGCAGGTGATGGGCAGCCAGGGGACTTTGGAGGAGCCTCTCAAACAGCAACACCATGGCAACCTGAACAGAAGGAGCACGTTGGAAAAATGAGGCAAATGCTTCCAAGCCTTCAGCAACCTCACAGTTGCATCCCTTCTGCTCACCTTTGGTTCCCAGGATGGATCTACACTCCAGGAGCTACAAAGAGCCTTGGGTTTGGTTTATGTTTATGTGCAGTTCACAAGAAGGCTCTTAGCTTTGGACTGAATCACAACTATCAATAATAATTATAATTTAATCTATTTCTGTTGATATAATTGTGCCTTTTGTCATGTAAACCTACTAGTAAAAAAATGCAAGGTCTCTGGGGCAGAGACCAAAGCACATCACCTCTGCTGTTTACCTCTGTGTACTACCATTTGCCCATCTTTCTAGATGATTAAATAATAATAGACTAACTGGTTGTTTCTTTATACCTATAAAAGTGACATAATCAACATTAAAAAAAAGATCAAAAGGCAAACACATGACTAGTACTCTCCCAAATTTACATTTTGAAGTCTCCTCTACCAGAGTAATCCAACTGAGCCCATTCTGGCATGTAGGAAGACACACACCAACACATTCTGAACGTCTATACCAAAAGGGAAGCAAATTATTATTACTTTCCCATCAGAGAAACGAATTGTTTTAAAAAGCAAGTGCTTTAAAACAGGGAATGGTGTGGTGCTGTGGATAACAAACTGTTTCTCTGTAGATCAGACAAGCTGATTGCACTGGCCCCAAATCTGGCACAGTTCTCCTGGATGCAGAGCAGCACAAGGATTTGCCCAGATCAAGGTTTACAGCTGCAGCAAATGCCAAATGAATTCATCAGTACTGGACACCGGAAATGAAATGCTACTCCCCCATAAAGACATTGTGAGGCTCATACCAGCACGCTAAATGAAGATATAAATTTACTCAAATCATATAAAAGTGGGCTAATTAGGAATAAAAGCTCTATTTCTTTATGTTTGTTTAGCTCAAGCTTTCCAGATATCAACCCAGAACTCACAGCAGCCAGGAAGGGAGTATTTTCTGTATCTGCTCAGAGTCCCTGGAGCTTCCTGGGCTTGGGGCCAGCTGTGATAACACAGCCATCCAGCATCAGGAAACCTCAGGAGTGCCCATCTCCCCTCTTTTTGGGGGCCTGGCACTTGGCTTTCCTCTCTGTCAGAGCTTTGTTGAGGTGGGCCTGGCCCAGTCTTGGATGTCACCAATTCTGGCCATTGTCCAAACCCATGGATTTCCTGGCTTGGCCTTGTCACTGTGGATTTCCACCTGGATACTGTGTCCAGCTCTGAGGCCACCAAGACAAGAAAGATTTTGACCTGCTGGAGCAAGTCCAGAGGAAGCCAGGGAGTTGTTCCAAGGTCTGGAGCCCCTCTGCTCTGGAGCCAGGTTGGGAGAGCTGGGAGTGTTAAGCCTGGAGAAGAGAAGGCTCCAGGGAGACCCGAGAGCCCCTTCCAGGGCCTAAAGGGGCTCCAGGAGAGCTGGAAAGGGACTTTGGACAAGGGCCTGGAGGGACAGGACAAGGGGGAATGGCTTCCCACTGCCCGAGGGAAGGGTTAGATGGGATATTGGGAAGAAATTCTTCCCTGGGAGGGTGATGAGGCCCTGGCACAGGTTGCCCAGAGAAGCTGTGGCTGCCCCATCCCTGGAAGTGTCCAAGGCCAGGTTGGACAGGGCTTGGAGCAACCTGGGCTAGTGGAAGGTGTCCCTGCCCATGGCAGGGGGTGGAATGGGATGAGCTTGTGACATCCCACCCTTAACAGGAAGGAGGCACCTTTAAGGTGCCTTCCAACCCAAACCATTGTGTGTTTCCATGACTCTTGGCTGGCTGTGGTTACTGCTGCTGGACCTGCTCTGCTCTTCTCATTACAAATTACTTTACACAGGAGTAGGTCCCGTACATTTTGATGGACACTCCTAAACAGATGGAAACATGAGCTAATTTAAGCCACATTAACCTTCTCTTCTCCTGGAGTAAAATAAGTAGAATTACTTCCTACTTGTTCATACAACACCCAGAGTTACTGTAAGTCAGGTAGTACCAGAACCTTCAGAAATTTCCTTGAATTTTTCTGAGCCCGAGTTTAATCAAAGCTGTGCTGTATGCTGGCTTACAGTCAAGTGGTTTCAGGTTATCAAAATTTTGTCTGCTGTTACTGATTTGCACCTGGTTGGTAGCAATTTCTTCAACCCACAGATTTCAAAGTTTAATCTCCTGTGGCTCAGAGCAATCAGCACATCAATACTGATGACATGAAACACTCGGCTGGTACATTTAGGTCTGAGTGAAAAATACTTCAAGATCAGTATTTATACCAAACCTCAAGACTGAAATATTCCAGGTCACCTAATTGTCTCTCAGTGTTCCACATCATCCCACAAGTCAGGAAGGAGTGGTGTTCTTGCTGTTCTTTACCTCAGTGTCTGTATCTCTGCAGGCCTCCATGGCACTGCTGTCAGGGAAGTATTTGTCACCACTTTCAACTGTCTGCCAGTAAAATCCATTTGGCACCACAAACACCTTCTCTGCTGCCTGAAACACACAAAGGACATCTCTCACTTGCATGTTACCTTGGTCTCTCAAAATAAAGGGCGTGGAAAAACAGAGTATTTTATGGCTAGAGACCACCCAAGGATGCACATGGGTGGGTTAAATTCATTAGTCCAATGTTGGTAATATATCATTTGCTTTCTTACAACCATTCCTCTTGCTCCAGTTAAGTGATATCCCAAGAATATGAATCTGCAACTGCTTCCCAAGAGCCTGAGCATTCCCAGTGTCCAATCCAGAGACTCCCCAGCACACAGAACACCCACAGATATCAGCAGGAGTTGCACCCATAGCAGACGGATCTGAGCAGAGCACTCGATTCTCCACAACTGTGCTGAGCACTCAGCAGAAAAGGGCTTTGTGAAAGCAATGCTCTAATTAACTAATCAAATGGAAGGGTAGGGAAGAAATTTCATGAACTTTTACATGCCTGTAACCAAAATAGGACATTTCTCCTGCGCTCATGTCACCACAAGTGACACGAATCTGTGAGACTTATTGTGTCACATACTCAGGGATAGGCAAAAAGCTGCCATTTAGGTCACAGTGCAGCATTTCCCAGCTCAGCACCTTATTTTGTTTCTCATACATTTTCTGGGCAGCCAAGCAAGCAACTTGTACAAGTGCAAGTGTAAGGATGTGTCACTCATGAGAATGTGCTGTGACTGGATGCTCAGTAAGCAAGGCCACAGTCCAGGGACAAAGAACTTTTGAAAGTCATGTTTGTCAAGTTCTGGCTTGGGAAGAATTGATATTGAAGATTCCAGAAACACAGATGCATTTAGGCAGAGTTCAGAGTGGGCAGGACTCATTCCAAGAATGAAAAAAAATTGTCACTTTTGAGACACAGGCTCAGGTGAGGCTTCACTTTTAAAGAGTCTACTCTGATTTACAGCAGTCGTTAATTTGTCCTCATCTCATGTGGACTGACCTTTTCAAAAAGCAGAAAAAGAAATTAGTTTTCAACATGGTCTCATCAGGACTTTTATTATGGAGAGAAAATGGGCTATCAGTGTATGGAGAAGCATCCATTGTGCATTCTGAGGTACATATAATGCTGATTAATTGTGTAATCACCTGAGAGATTCTGTGTGTGCTGCTTGGCCTACGACAGGCACTTCACACAAATGCTATAAAAATAACAACCAGAAAATCAAATTAATTTGAATATTAAAACCCCTCTGACAACTGCCTTTCCACTTCAGTAACCTTTTATGTTTTCTCTTTCCTCTATTTCCTGCACTTCATGAGATATTTGCCTAAAAGCAGAACCGGGGATTTCACTTTTCATGCTTTTCAATCAAATCAACTACACCAAACCCAGAGCTTTGGCATCTCTCAGTGGCTTTGTCCATTCTGTCCTGCAATTCATCACTCTCCTGCTTCCACTGGTGCAATTACACTTGGTTGCTGTGGAAAAGATCATCGGAGGGAAAGGGCATTCAAGGAGACAGAAGATCACCTCTGTTTCCAATGCAAGATGTCAGCTCCCACATGCAACACTGGTACAGTATTCCCAATGTACAAAAGAGGAATGCAGCAAGACCCCAGTCTTCTATTTATTTAAGTTATTCCTTGAACAAACCTCACATCTCTGAACTTTCAAGAAGAAGGAAGAGAAGAGACAAATGTGGTCAAACCAACACCAGCCCCTATTTCCATAGAAACCTTCAAAGTGATCATCCAGCCCCAGTTAGGACACATGGGGAAATCCAAGGTAAAATCTGCCCTTCAGGAAGGACCACGGTGTAAACTGTGGATGAGGGTGATCCCAGGCCAACCTCCCTCCCTGCCAGAGCAGGGATCTGCCCACACCTGGGAATTCACACCCGTGGGAAATTGTTACTGAGATCAGTCAGATTCTGTTTTCTAACAACCAACCTGAATGTGAGTTCACAAAGCAACAGAAAATGAAGTTTGAAAAGTCTTAGTTCTCCTACAAAGTCCTTCTCCTCATGAGTTAGGAACAGACAGATGGCCGTGGTAGGAGGGCCCTGCTTTGTCCAGTCTGGCTAAAATGCCCCAGTGGTGAACTCCTGGCATAGCCTTCCTATCCATGAGCAGGAAAACCAGGGAGAAAGTCACTTTCCCTGGGCATGTAGGAGAGAATTGCATCAAGTCAGTCATTATAATACTGAGATGAGCCCTGTTTAACACGTAACACAGAGCAACCTTCCACAGGCAGTTGCAGGACCTTACAATCACTGAAATAACTGGCAAATTCAACACTATTTATGATACTTTAGTGCTACTTTTAATGTTCCACAAGAGTGTAGGTGTGAGAATCGTGTTGGTTTCACCTCAGGGCTCATTCCTCTCACACCTCCAACAACATCACACCAGCTGTAAAACTTTGTGCCAACACAGCATCTGAGGAAGCCTCTCCCAGGCCAGCGGGTCCATCACCTCTGAGCACTGACCTGTCTCCTGGTGGGAGGAGAGGAGATTCCCCCACAAGAAAAGAGGAGGATAACTACCTGAAAATCCCTCTCCTGTGAGGCTCTGCAGACTCGGCACTGTAACAACCTCACATCTTCTGGGAAAGGCATTTCCCAGGGAGGAAGGTTCCCTACATCAGCCAATGGCAGCTGCACAGCCCCAGGGATACTCTGACTTATGCTGTGACAGGTTTCAAACCCCAGCCTCACAGAACCATGACCATTGCCATGCTGTGTCTGCAGGGCTTCTTACAGCACTGAAATCCTCTCCATCCAAACTGCCACAATCAGGAAGAGCAGGAAGGGAAGGCACGTCCATAACATCTTATTTTTATTATTCCTTTTTGTCAATTATCTTTGTTCTTTTTTGATTTGAGTGCCAAATTCCAATATCTGCTACCTTACAACACTGAAAAAGACCAGTTTGGACCATAACTAACATTGAACATTCACCAGTTTTTCAAAAAGCATTTAGAAGAAACCCTGAGCTGCTGCTTTGTTTCAGACAATATCACCCAGATGAAGCCAGATAGTTATGGGAAAGAAATTCCCAGCAGAACAAAAATGTGTTGTAAAATCCTGAGCAGAAACAAGAATAAGCACATTTCAGAGAAGGCTGGAGCTGCGTGCAGCAAACCCATAAATATTTAACTGTCATCCAGAAATATGACCAAACCCATGATCTCTTCTTTGTGCTTCCAGTGCTTCTGTTCCCATCTCTGACAACAAAGAAATAGCTTTTGCTGTCAGATGATCTAAGAGGCTCTTTAAAGTTGCAATGAGTCTTCCAGGCTGCTTCCCAGCCACAGCAGGAAAACAGAAACTGCAGAAAGAATCCCCACATACTCCACAATCTCCTCTCCTCACACGCAAGGTCCTTCCCAAGGCAAGGATGTGCTCAGCCGTTATCACTGCGAGGCAACACCAAACCCCTCCAAGGAAGATGCTGCATCTCCCAGAACCTCCAGAGCCACTGGAAATTCCAAAACTTCTCCCTTCCAGCCCCACTGAGCACATTGGGGCAACAAAGGCAGCTTCTCTCACTCCAGCACAGCTCGTGTCTGATGTGATTCACCAAATCACGTCCCTGATTTAGGCAGCATCGCCCTCAAACTCTCTCCTCTCCCCACTGCCATCAATCCCAATAAATTAACATAATATTCCTAGGGGAATCCAGATTAACACAATGTTCCCTGCACATCTTCCCTCCCCCTGTGCACACTCTCTTCAGATGGCTAAGGAATTTAGTATTTACAGAATTTAGCACAGGATCTCCTTGACATAATTCTTCTCCATATTCTGAACCAGCCATTCATCTGAATAATGTATGGGAAATTCCCATGTTTTTTCCTCTTTCTGGAAGCTTTCTTCAGCTTGCAATTTGCAGGAGACAATTCTTGCCTTGTAGGTTCTTATTTAAATGAACTCACCGAAGAGGATATTTTTAATTAATATTAATAATTTTTTTTAATTTGACTAATAAGTGAAAGGATGCTATAGGAAAGAAAAGATCCTATAGGAAATATGGAGGCACCATAGGAAGATCCCAGGCAGCAAAAAGGCTGGGATAAAGGCAGCTAGTCAAGGAAGACACGACTGTATTTCAGGCAGTTTGCAATGGATCTCACTTCCCATTGTTCCCCTTCTGGACAGGGAAAGGGATATCTCTAAACACAGAAGAGAGAGTGAGACAGTAACTCCCAGCCTTTGTGCCCATCATGCACAGCACTAATGGCAAAGCACATTAGCTCTTTAAAGCTGCTCTTTAAAGCTGCTCTTTTCTGGAATAATGAGCAATGGGCACAATTTAAATGTGAGCTATCAAATTTTAGGAAGAATGAAAAACTATAACGGTTTATTCCTCCCCAAGCTATGCCTTCATCTTTGTGCCAGCTCTGGTAGACATCACTGTAGTCCTTCCTGCTTCTAAAGGTTAGGGGTATTTTACTTACAAATACCAATGACTGCCTGAACTCCTGGCTCCAGGAAAATCAATGACAGGCTCCAGCAGGACTCAGCTGGGGCCAGGATGTCACCTTCTCCCTTCTGCCTCCTGAGGGCACAGCCATGCAGCTATTCTGTGCTGCAGCTACAGATGATTTTCTAAAAATGCACAGAGGTGAGGTCCCAGGACAAATGTTTCACCCTCAAATAAGTCATATCCACGTGGAATCATCAGTCAGATGATGTGCTCTTACCAAAGCTGTTGATACAACTTTATCAGGCTGCACAGCAAACTCAGGGCGCCAGACATGCAAGATCAGACCCTCTGCACCAACTCAGATAAAGTCAAGACATGAGCAAGATTTGGAAAGCAAAGGGCAGGATAAACCCATCCTTTTGAAACTCGTGCTTTCCACCTGTAGCCTGGATTTCAAACAGCAAAGCTGCTGGATTTCTGTCATGCTGCAGGTCTGGGTTGGGAAGCAGATGTGGAAGAGCTGTTCTGGATGCTTTATCCCTCCCTAATGCCCAGTTCAGCTGCACAGCAATCAACTCTTTCAAGCCTTGGAGGAGGAGAGCACAGCCCTGATCCATGCAGTAAAACAGAGCTCACAGCAACCTGTGGATCAGGTCTCAGAGCTGGGCAAACTGTGCTGCACTCCAGGAAGCTCGAGCTGGAAAACAAAACATGGCTTGGCCCAGCTTAGGTGCTGTTCAGAGCTGCTCCTCACAGCAGGAAAGGACAAACAGAGAACACAGGGGGCAATAACCCCAAATCAAACCAGCATAATTGCCCCCCCCAGACACTGAACCACAGCATGTCCCAGTTATTACAGTTTGGGATGTGTGAAAGGCCATGTCCCCACAGCCACAGGCTGAAGAGAGTTGGGTGAAAAGCTGATGCAGTAGTAAGTAACAGTTCCCTGAGCATGACTCCCTTAGCAAAGAAGTCAAATGAAGTTATAGTAAAGGACAGTGGAAGATGCTGAAGGGATCAAGGCTGTGCTGCCTGCCAATGAAATAATGTCACACACACAGAGTGTTCTCACTGAGCTCACGCTGAAACACAGATTCACAGACCTGAAGGATCTTCTGGAATTGCCTCCCACTCCCTCTTCAGAGGCTGCACACAGAGCTCAGGCAACCACATCTCTAAATCAGGTCCTTTAAGTGCAACAAGTGTTGCATCCAGGCTCCACTTTTCCATGGCATCCACGGGGATTTGGATTTCATCAGCGATGTAGGGCTCTTCTTGACTACATGGTTCTTTCAGTATTTGAAATAAAACTTGCAACTTTCAAAGCTTGTGTTTGTGAGGCTCCTCTGGTAACAGAGTTAATGTCAACTCTAGCAGGGGAAACCCAAAAGTCTGAAATACCACAGGAAAGAACTGCTCTACTTTCTGCCAGCCTCCTCCCATCCATCAACCCTCCTGTTTGGTCAGTCTGTGCTGGTTGATGGTTTTGGCAGGACTGAGTGACAGTATCAGCTCCCTGGACCCAGTCCTGGAATTCTTAGCTATGCTTAGCCAGAAAAAAAATTAAATAAAAAAAAGGGAGCTTTGCTTAAGTGAAAAGCAAGGAGGGAACTTTGTGTAGACCTGCCCTTAATCATTACTATTGTCTTAAAAGAGAACACATAACCCTCATGTCAGAGCAGGGAATCTACTAAAGGAGCAGCATGTAGGGAACTGATCACCTGGAGCTGCAACAAAATGGATTTTATGGAACTAAAAGTAAAAAATCTCATCACTTGAGGAAAAAGGGGAACTTCCATCCCTAAAAACCTCACAGATCCATACAGCACTGCCATGCCCTGACTGCTCTGTCCTGGCAGGGACCTGCACAGGCTGGGAGTTCAAGGAGATGCTCTGGAAGGAGACCAAAAGATGGTGAGCAAATATCCCACTGTCTGGAACAACTGAGGGAAAGGAAGAGAATTTCAGTATGGAACAAACAGGCAGAGGAAAAGCAGCATCAACACCACATATATTGCCTGTATCCCTAAGGTTGATGCATCCTAAGGCTTAACAGCAGAAAGTGCTTTTATTTTATGCTAATATGAAGGAATCCTCTTTTTGCTGACAAGGGACCTTGCATTAATAACTTCCACAGGGATGTTGTCACTCCTAACCTAACCTGGGGTTTAATGACTGCATTGTTACATCAGCCTGGCACGATTTCTGTCTTTAATTTACCTGGAGCAAAAGGAGGTACCTACTGAATGCTTCTCCACATGGGAGCAGGTTCTTTGGTCTGCTTATTTTGTATACACTGCCTCAAAACAAATATAAATATATAAAAAGCAAAGCATGGATCACTGGCTTTGCACCAAACCTTCAAACCAATGAAGTTAAAAGAATATGATATTGAATTTTCTATGCAGCACTTTTTGGTTGTATTTTAATGACACTTGGGAACATTCTCAGTTGGTACCACTTTGTAAAGCTTCAGGGCACACATCAGTGGTAGCTGCTGCCTGCTGTGAGTGTGGCTCATTGAGCCCTGCTTTGAAAATCAACTTTTCTGCTTAAACAGCTATAAAAAATGTGGCTGCCCCTGGAAGGGTTTAAGCCCAGGTTGGATGAGGCTTGGAGCAACCTGGGCTAGTGGAAGGTGTCCCTGCCCATGGCAGGGGGTGGAATGGGATGAGCTGTAAGGTTTCTTCCAACCCAGCCCATCCTGTGATTCCATGATTCCATGAAAAAGCCAGAACATGCAGTGGTCTCAGCCTGACTCAGGCCTGGCAACCTGGTTGGCACAGAGGACTTGAACTTGAGAAGTGAATGTGGTTTTTAAATTGACTTCAGGTTTTCTGTGGCATCAAGGCAAAGATCCACCCCCAGAAAGTGTCTGCTATCTCACTGTTCAACTCCTAATGACTTATAATTCCCCTAATAAGGGATTTGCATAAAAGCCCTGACTGTTTTAAATGATGCCTTGGTTTATGCCTTAAAAGCTACTGCAGATTTATCTTTTACGAGTCTGTCAGGCTGCTTTATGGCACTTGCTTCTGCTTGAAAGCCACAGTAACTGCAAATCAACAACACTAAGCCTCCTTTTCCTCCACAGAAAGTGGGATAAACCTTTAGGCAAATTGCTAAGTGCACTGCTAAGCCCCTAAGCTTTGCACTGATTCTCACAGAGTCACAGTAATCCTCAAATCTGGTTGAAACTGCAGAAAGGTTCCCCTGCCACGTTATTTTCAAAACTAAAAACTTCACTGTGTAACTAGAATTGCAGGTTTTGCCATTCCCTGGAATTGTGTCTCAAGAGTTTTGTCGATTTAGAAATATTGGGAAAAGATCACGATTGTGGTGAAGTCATGGGAAAGAAACAAGTAGAACATTCCCTCAAAAGATACAGAAATCAGGCCATATTAAATTGGCTTTGAAAACTCACTCTAAATATCTACATTAAGGAAGGAAAGTTTGTAAAGGCCTAAAAGAAAGCTTGGATGCCCTTAAGGAATAAACTCCCCCCCTAATTCATTACAATGAATTCTTGTAATATTTCATACACTTGATATTTGTTACAGAGCACTTGCTAAGCTGAAAGAGGTGAAAAGTTAATTATTATTCAACTATATACAGCAGAGAGTATTCTTGCAGACAACTCCAGGTAGGCAAGAGATTGGAGGCACTTGATTTTGAGATGTGCTCCATCCTTGTAACTCACACACTTCCCTGCAAATCTACAGACACTAAAATCACAGAATCATAAAATATGCCGATATTAGAAGCATTTGTTTTCAAAGTCTGCTTAAATACTTTGCTAAAGTAAACAAGAATATCTGTTAACACTGAAAGAACAAGTTTTACTGGACCTGAGGAGACAATTACCAGAATTCCAAGCTTTTCTGTTCAGTACCTGAGGGTCGGGATTAACAGCAACAACGTTACTGAGCAGGACAGAGGGAATATCAAGATGAAGTGGACACAGCTGGTTTTGGAAGCAACTGGCCAGTTGTGCCCTCCACCAAATAACATCTGGAAGCCATGTAGAGGCAAGAAATGCAGAAATCTTCTGGTAAAACACAGATGGTCCTCGTAGATCTTCCGTGTTCTGCAAAGAGTCAATGGTTAAAAATCAATTGGTGGTTGCCTTAGGAGCTTTCTCTCTGTACCTTGCACCTGGAACAGCTCCTCCTTTGTCTGCAGCCATCCCAGACTCCAGTTCCACACAGCTGCTTCAGATTCTGCAAAGCATATCCCTAACATAACACCCCACAGCCTCCCAAACCATCACACCCTGCTCATGACATCCATCAGCTCACAAATACTACTCCAAGGCAGATTACACCACACTTACAGAGGGAGAAAATGCCATAAACAGGACCATATAACAGCCCAGTACAATGAAACATTCATTTCAAAGGGTTTCATAGGGATATGAATGAATATATTAACATCCCATCCCTGGAAGTGTCCAAGGCCAGGTTGGATGGGGCTTGGAGCAATCTGGTCAAGTGGAAGGTGTCCCTGGCCATGGCAGGGAGCGGAACAAGATGAGCTTTAAAGTCTCTTCCAATCCAAACCATTCTATGATTTTTTTTAAGACTGAGACTAATATTAATACATTGACATTGAGTACCCTCCTGCTAAATTACAGTTTTCCATCATTTAACCTCCCCTCTAAGCCTCATTGTTCTTCAGGTTGGTTCTTAATTAGCAGAACTTTCAGAGAACAAAACTGATGACCTCAATGAGACCTAATTAGAAATTAACAGACAACAATTATGCAAAGCATCTTCTTTCCACCAGCTATTGAAAGGAAGTGATGGTCCCGTCCTTCTCTGAGCTGGGGCAACCTCACCTCGAGTGCTGGGGGCCACAACATCAGAAGGATCTAAAGCTATGGGAGAGTGTCCAAAGGAGGGACATAAGGATAGGGAAGGGTCTGAGGAGTGGCTGAGGGCACTTGGTCTGCTCAGCTGGAGGAGACTGAGGGGAGAGCCCATAAGGGTCTGCAGCTTCCTCATGAGGGGCAGTGGAGGGACAGCTCTGATCTCTGCTCCCTGTGACCAGGGACAGCACCCTGAAGTTGTGTCAGGGGAGGGTTAGGCTGGATACTAGGAAAAGGTTCTTCCCCCAGAGGGTGGCTGGGCACTGAACAGGCTCCCCAGGGCAGTGGGCACAGCACCAAGACTGCCAGAGCTCCAGGAGCATTTGGACTACATTCTCAGGCACAGGGTGTGACTCTTGGGGATGGTCCTGTGCAGGGCCAGGAGTTGGACTCATGGTCCCTGTGGGTCCCTTCCAGCTCAGAATATTTTATGGCTCTGTGATTACTGCACACAGAAAGTGGAGCCCAAGGAAGAAAGGTCTGCAGAAAAGCCCCAAATCTAATGACTGTGAGCTGTTCTGAGCCAGCAGAGAATGAAGTGAGGAAGTGCAGAGACAGGAGCCACAGAGCTCTGCACGGTGCCAGCGTGCCTAATTGGGAATGCCTGGAAGATTCTTAGAAAGCATAGGCTTTACAAATCTAATTCCCATCAGACATGCTTGGGACTGCAGCTTGTCTATCAGCAAGCAGGGATTACAAGAGGTCTGTATTTAAGCATTTGTTCTGATAATAAGAAACCAAAACCATGCAGGGATGTTCAAATCTGCCTCATTTTTATTAGTTGTTTGGGGAAGGACAGAATAAAAATACCCCAAACTAAAACCCAAAAAACCAACAAAAATGGGAGGAAACAGAACTACTGGATATAGGAATAGATGCCATCCTAGTTGAATAAGCCCAAAGGCTTATTGATCTGCTGAGAACAGGAGCTTTTGCCTGGAGAGACCACTATTATACTTCCTTTTATAACTATGGATGGGGAAACAAAATATGATAAATAATAGAAGATACACAGATGACAGTAAATAAGAAGTTGATGGCTCAGAGCCTCCTTTTGGGGGTTGAACATGGACTCTGGCCTCTCCATGTTAAGAACATTAAAATATCATTTTTCATAATATTAAACATTTACATATACTAGGTATGCCTCTTTTGCTTACATTCCTATAGCAAACAGATACAACAAAAGCACCTGGAAAACCAGTCATAGTGTAAAGGTAAAGCCCTCATAAGTGGTTCTCTTTGTGCCCATAGGAGACAACTGGAACAAGAGCCAGTAAGTGCCCCAACAGGATTTTGTTATTCAACCATTAAACCCCTCCACATTAACAGTACAGTGAGAGACTGACAACTTAAGTGTAAAGAACAAAATCCACCCCATTTCTCTCCAACTGTAGCTGAAGCTGCCCAAGGGAAGGAACGGGAAGACAGGACCACTTGCTGTTATTTTTCTTGTCTCTGCTGTGGCTGACATTTGGACTTGTGTTGTTCCTACCAGCTTAGATCTCTGTTGGGGAAAGCAGCAGCTTTACAAATGCCTCAGGAAAGCAAAATTAACAAAAGTCAGTGGAACCACAAAGGTAGAGCCTCTAACGAGAGGAAACCAAGTTACACACACAGTCCTGCTTGGAACTGTCCCAATACCTGCAGGTCACCACTGACAGGACCCAAGGGAATGGCCTGAAGTTGTGTCAGGGGAGGTTTAGGTTGGATATTAGAAAGAGGTTCTTCCCCCAAAGGGAGGTTGGGTTGGTGGTTGACCAGGGCTGACAGAGCTCAAGGAACATTTGGATGATACTCTCAGGCACGTGTGACTCTTGGGGATGGTTCTGTGCAGGGCCAAGGGTTGGATTCAGTGATCCTCGTGGGTCCCTTCCAACTCAGCACATTCTGTGATTCTGTGAGTTTTTTATGATGAGGGTGGGGAGGCCCTGGCACAGGTTGCCCAGAGAAGCTGTGGCTGCCCCATCCCTGGAAGTGTCCAAGGCCAGGTTGGATGGGGTTTGGAGCAACCTGGGCTAGTGGAAGGTGCTCCTGACCATAGCAGGGGTTTGGACTCGATGGCCTTGAAAAGACCCCTTCCAACCTAAACTATACCACGATTCTGTGACATGGACTGGAGGAACTGTACAGTTTGTTCCACTAACTTGTGATTCAACCCTCCCCAGCTCCAATCAAACGCTCAGAGCAGTCTGAGCCCACATCTCCAAAAGTTCATTCAATTGTTTATCACTGCTCATATTTTGAACATACACAGTGCTCAATAATTTTGCTGCTTTGCCCAACCTCTCAGCTGAAACCAGCAGGGAGCAACCAGGCAGGAGGCAGGTCAGTCTCTGTTCCTCCATTTGCTTTGCTCCACAGAGGAAACATCTTGAATTCAGTTGCCTGAGACTGAAATCAGCATTAAACCTTTGTCCAGTCCAGCAGGCTGCCTGCTCTCATCAGCCTCTGCCCATGGGCACTTCTGTCCAAACACTAATGCTTATTGTTTTGGGGTATTTTTGGCAGATGTTTTATTCATGACATTTTGGTGCCAGCATCAATCATTTACTTGCAGGAGTACTGGAGCCACAGCTGTCAAACTCCAGGCTTTATGATACATCATGGGAAATTCAACCTTTGCTGCTCACAGGCAGGCAGCTGCAAGGGAAGAACTCTTGCTGCAGCTCAGTATGGGAAGTTAATTGAGCTTTGAAAACTTGTTTACATCTTCTATTCCATTTAAACTTCACATGAGGTGTCCAGCAGGTATAATCCAGGTACCTGGGGGCATATCTGTTTAACATTACTAGGGTGAAACAGGCAAAAATAGAGTAGAAATTCCACCATTAGCTCACTAAAGCCACAAGTATTGCTTTGAGCCCCCTGAGAGGAACTCAGCAGCCTCAGCAGAGCACAGGGCAGCACCTCAAAGGATACTCAGTGATAGGATAGTTGTTCAAGCCAGTGGCTCTCAGGAGATCTGGGGTACACACAGATTGTTGCTCCCCAGATATACCTGGGTACACTTTCCAGCAAGAGTCAGCTACACTGCATAGGTAGGACAGGTATTTATACCAGGTAAGAGTAGCAATAACACCTAAAAAACTGTCTCCAAAAAAGAAACAGGAACAAGATGCTCAGAATTCCAGCCTGTATTGTATCAGCTCCATGAAAAGACAGAACCAACAAACCACAGCTCACAGCTGCCATTTCGTAGCTCTGCTGTGCTCAGGACACAGATTCACATCATGCCCTATATTCCATGTGCCACCTGCATGTGCTTGTGTGCAAGACCTTCCAGCTTGGGGGTTTATTGCACAGTACAGGCCCTGTTGTCTTCCAGACTTGAGGGAACAGAGGCTCAGGTTGTGCTTCCAGGTCCTGACTCCTTGGAGCCAAACAGCACGACAGTATTCTCTCTCCTATGCCACACTCTTCACATGGTTAAAGTACAAGAGGAAAAACCATTACATGTCCCAAAGATGTGTCTCCTCTGAAGCCAGTTAAATTTCTGCAGTATGAGGTTACAGTTAATGAGCAATAGAGAAAAAATTATGCCATAGAGAGCTGGTTTCTTGTCTGCACGAAAACTAAATTCAGCAGCACTGAGGACAGCTTGGGTTGGCAATTAGCTGTAAGCAATCTTTCAGTTCCCACAGTACTGGGCTGGTCCCCCACTCCAATTTAGAGCAGCACTTATGCTGCTCTCTCCTGCCTTGCTGAAATTTGAGCTCAAATTGGCATATGCAGGGCTGGTGCTTAGTCAAGAACACTGGTACCTGCCCAGGGCTGTCGTGCACAACCAGCAGGTGCAAATGCTGCTACTCACTTGTGTCTCCTGGGTCTTGGGACAGCTCTGGGCTGAAGACTCATCTGCTGGGATCAGACCAGCACAGAGGGCCAAGCCTTCCTCCCTCCAGGCCTGCTGCAGCCCCACCACCTCAAATGGAGCTTTGGGGCCATTGTTCCTTTTCAAAGGAGGCACCTGTAAATCCATTGGAACAGAATTTGACTTTTAGATGGACTGAAAAAAAAAACCCTTTATCTTTTTCTGTTGCTTTTGAGTAGAGCCCCCCAACATAACAACAATCCAGGGAGCATTCTAGCTTGATTAGTAGATTAGCTATGGTTTAGTCAGTAGAAAAATCAATAAAGACCAAATTAAATAATATGTGTGGTTTTCACTATGTGACAGCAAAAATGCACATTATTTCCCTAGTCCAGCAAGGAGTGAGAACAGTCCCTGTCAGTGCTGCTTGGAACATTCCTGCCAGAGCAGCACCTTTACCAATGATAAGGAGATCAGTCCCAGTTCAAAAATCAATGCAAAGTGATGATCTAATTCCAAGTAGCTAATGGAGGCTTCCCTAACAAGCCTTTCTTTTCCCCATTGGTGATCACTAATAGCCCAAACCCCATCAATCCCCATCCACTGAATCCCCCTTTCAGTTTGACTGAGGTGAGTTCTTTTTGATGGATTTTTTTGTGCACACGTGTGTGGGAGACAAACATCTTATTTTCCACTACACACATCTGATTTAAACAAAACAGGCTAAAAAGTGACTTCTGCCAATCCCAAGATGAACCCTGGACATAATTGATTATTGTAAATACCACAGAGACAGGGTTCCAGAAGGAAAGACCAATCCTTGGCTCTTAAAGCTGCTCGAAGTCAGAAGAAACATGATACACTTCAACATGCAGAATACATGAAAAACTTTATTATGGGTTAGAAAAAAGACAGGAGCAACACCTGAAACAGAGTATGGAGGTACTGGAGCACCTGCAAAACAGGTGAAAGAGGGCAGAAAGCCATGGGAAAGTCAGACACAGGGAATCAGCAAAGCCAGGAGAAGGGAAGAGCAGCCCTGTGAGGCAGAGATGCCTGAACCAGAACACACTCTGGATGAAGAGACAGGCAAGTTTGAGCTACAGGACTGGAATTCCTTCCCAGGGTTCTGGTGGATAAGTGTTGTTCTCACAGTTTATACCACCACCACAGTCTGTAGATGGATTATCAGCCCTGCTATTTACTGCACATATTACCCCAAACTATTTACAGTGAGATAAAGGCCTTTAGAAATACGTTCTCAACACGGTACCTGAGTGGATTTTCCAGGTCAGCTGGATCACTTAGAACACCAGTACCCAGCCCTTGAGTGCTTTGAGCACTGGTTTCACATGGGAAATTCTGCAGCAGCTCAGCCACTGGGGAATGTTTTCACCTGGAGGATGCTCTCAACTGGCACCAACCACCACATCTCCAATGAAATCAATAAGATATGCTGATTTGCACAAGCCAGGGAATCAGTGGAATTACATAGATTACCAGATAAAAATTTGGTCTAAAAAAGTCCAAACATTTTTAATTCTTTCAATGAAAGAAATGCAGAATTTTCCACTACTATGCAACAGCTGTTTGAGAACCTGTGTGCAATAAATTGATGGATTTTACCCCCGTTTCTCTTCGGCACAAAGTCCATCTCAACATGTGACCTGACACTCAGCAGAGTGACACTGAGCCCTGGAAGCTGAGATATCCTTTGAGGCTTGGAGAGAGCTGCTACATGTCAGAGTTCTGGGTTTTTTAATGGGAATAACGCAGGGGAAGCAAGCTCACACTGCAGCTGGTCATGAGCTAACCAGCCTCTGAATAGGAGATCCAGGCTCTGGGGCTGTTCCAGTGGCAATTTTCATTAGCACTGAACTAACACTAAAGAATATTAGCAATGTTTTAATGGAGGCATGAACATCATTAACAATTAATTCTGTTTTAAGTGGAGTTTAAGTGATTTAAAAGCCTGGTGCAGGCTGGCTGCTCAGGGTGAAATCTACCTTGACTGCATGGATCAGTATTGGTATCCCAGGGAAAAGAACAAGGCCAGAATGCAGGGTGGGGAGGGAAAATACACATTGCCTGTTTTCCTAGGAGGTTGGATGAGGAAGGAGAGAGGAAGAGGTGGCTTTTTAGAGGAGAAAACCACATGAACTAAAGGACAATTAAGATGAAGTAGCCCCCCACTTGTTTACAGCCCTCTCGACTACCAGAAAGGATCTGTTCTTATCTAGAATAAGTGGTTAGAAACAGGCTCCTGTATCCATCAGCTTCTTTTGCCAAGGACAAAGTCAAACACTTCCAGCAGCCACTTTTAACAATTGTGACTCTGGCCCGACAATTTTTTACATCTTCATGAACTACAGACACAATCCAACTGCCCACTGACTTCAGAGAGACTTTTATTTACTGACTCTAAGGTGAATTAGAACATAATTTCCCCCTTGTTCAGCCACTGTTTTGTAGCTGTTGGAAAGAGAGGAGATTTCAAGAGTGATTATATATTCACTGGAGGTCAAAACACAGCCTTCATCACTCAGAACCTTTTGTGCCCTGTCACTGCCTGTACTCACCAGAGAGAGCAGCCACGTCACGAGGGCCTGGTAGATGTTGGCTGCTCCCAGCACCTTGTCAGGCACCTGCCCATCACACTGATCTGTGGCCACTTGGCCACAGCTTGTCAGCCTAATGGTCAGCAGCAGCACCTCATCCTTCACACGCTGTGGGCCAGGCAATGTGTCAACAGCTGGCAAATAAGAGGCTTCCTGTCAAAAAAAAAAAAAAAAGTATTAAAATGGAAGTAATTTGGATTACTGGAACTGTTTCATCATCGAGAATTAATTACATTTGCTGCCATCACAGGAGAGGCATTTATCAAAGAGCCATAAAAGCCAGGTCATTCTATCAGTGACACCTCCTTGAGCACTTTGGTTTTTCTTGGACAGCTGTCACCTGGCTCTTCATTCAGTAACACACTGCTTGGTGAATGGAAGGTTCCGTGGTCACAGCTGGAAAAGTGTGATTAAATTTATTCTGTATTCTTTAAGATTCAGTGTTTTGGCTTTTCTTTTTTTTTTTTTAATCCCTGAAAAGCCTTCAAACAAGCCTGATAGTGTGAAAACTCATGATTTTCTGCTTCACCTACCATTCCTCATTTCATAGATGATGTCCCATTTAAGTAAACTCACCTTCTTTCTTCACTTTAGTATTGGTAGATACCTGGTTATTTAGGATGCAAATTCCCACTCCTCTAAGAGATCTGTTCAAGAAACAACTTCAAGCTTGAATTGTAGACTTACAGTTTTTTGTCCTTCCAAAGATGCAGCAGCTACAGCTTGTTCTTCCTATTTATGTTCAATTTGTTGCCCCTGACATTTCTTTGGTAAATTAAGGAGCTAGTCTCTAAAAATCACAAAGATTCTCCAGTCCACTGAAGAGTACTGCTCCTCAACATTTATGATTATAAAATCATGGAATGGTTTGGATTGGAAGGGTTCTTAAAGCTCCTCTCATTCCATCCCCTGCCACGGGCAGGGACAACTTCCCCTAGACCAGGTTGCTCCAGGCTCCATCCAGCCTGGTCTCATGTTTTCAGTTGCTCCATGTAGCCCATAATGAGGATGTTTGCCCACTCCTTTACACTGAATTAACCTTAATTTGATTTACCTGAATTTACTCTGAAAGCAAAGTAAGCTAAATCCAGTTAAAGCCACTTTAATTCTGAATTAAAACGTCCACAAAGGTGTATAATGACTAATCCACTTCACAAGTTAATGGAGCTTGACTTGTGTGTTGGTCCTCAAATCAGACAGCTGCTTAAAATGGTTCAAAACCCAAAAAAGTAATAAAAATCCCCAAGCAGATCTACTGTGTCACCCAGTGTTTTGCTGCCAAAACATCTGCCACAGGCCCAGCACTGCCTACAAGTACCAAATAAAAACTGCAATTAGTAATAAAGGAAAAACAGTCACACCAAAATGTCTGATGCTGCAGAATAACATTACTAATGCTGCTATTCCTGGGGAGCCAGCAGAATTCCTCAAGGCTTTCACCCTACTTCATCTGAGGAAGAGGAACCTGGAGATCATCAGGAAAAGATGACTTTCTACACTCTGTATTGGAGAATTGATTCTTTTGTCATCTCTCAAAGGTATGGGGAAAAATAAGAGGAGGTAACTCAAGAGCTAATGATAAAAACAGCATCTACTACTAATTTTCCAGCAGGAAATTTCCAACTATTCCAAATTTGCTTGGCTCAGCAGCAGGGGAGGGCTCAATAGGTTTTCTGACAAAGATCAGGTAAGAAATTCAGTTATTGAGGTTCCTTCTGAGTGAGGTATTGAGCAAGGTTGGTCCTTCTCTCTCCTCCCTCTGCCAGTCTCCTCATCCCAACAAGAATCTAGGTGTGGAACTTAACCAATATCAGAAATATTAAGTCTAATGAACAAAAAAAAGGAACTAATCCTGTTTAATTATGGGCATGAATTGCTGAAGTAAGATTCAGTGCTTTCTGGGTATATCTTCCCACAGCACTGCCCAATTTACCCAGTTCACCCATGAACAGTTTCATTTGCCTACTTGTTCCACTGGCTTTTATTTGTGACAGTATTAGGATATAAAAAGATTAAAATTACTCAAATGCTTGGATATTTCTGGTTTCTCTGGCTGGAATTGTGCTGTCAATCAGAGACAGGCAGCTGACTGTAGTGAAGGGCCAACAATTACCAGAGGGTAAATAAGATAAAATTTCCTTTTTCCACACACTTGCTATTTTATTTTGCAATTATAGTTTATGGTGTTAAAGGTTGCAGCTCTTCAGCTCAGTTTTCCAACCACTCTCAGCTCCGGCCTTTTCTTTTCCACTCTGATACAACAGTGCAATAGGAGCAGTAACTACACCAAGCAGGGGAGGAGGAACCTCTTCAAATCCACATGGAAATGAAATGAGGAAAAAAGGAATTGCAAGATAACTCAAGGATAACCACACACTTCAGCCTTCAGCTACACACACAGAGGCATGATGGCCTCAGGCTGAAGGAGGTGAGGGTGAGATTAAGTATTAGGAAGAAATTGAGGGTGGTGAGGCCCTGGAATGGATTTCTCTGGGAAGCTGTGGCTGCCCCATCCCATCCCTGGAAGTGTCCAAGGCCGGGCTGGACAGGGCTTGGAGCAACCTGGGCTAGTGGAAGGCGTCCCTGCCCGTGGCAGGGGGTGGAATGAGATGAGCTTTAATGTCCTTTCCAACCCAAACCAGACTGTGATAATCCCAAAGGAAACTACTATTCAGAAAAACCCAAAATGTAAAGATCCCTGTATAGACAATCATTTTTTTTAAGTGGCATTTTATCTCCATATTATTATTATTTTTAAAACAAAACCCAGATATCTACAATCACAGCAAGCCAAAACTTAGTGGACACAAGTTTTCCAGCCAGACAGACATCATTTTGTTTCTAATAAAATAGCTCAAATTAGTTAAATGATGCCTTTGTTGATGTTTTTTTAAAAAGAGTAGTGGGCATTGCCTTTGGACAAAGAGCTCCTAAGATGTGGAAATACCATCAAAGCTGTGAGAGGCTGGAATGACCGAGGAGCAGCTCAGGAGCCAGGGGAGCTTGGTGACAACTTCACAAAGATTTCCCACAAGAACCAGCTCACCCAGTCTGAGGGCTTACCCCAGTGGCAGGAGAGGTCAAGAAGAAGCCAATTTTTTTTTTATTTTAACAGGTATAGTCTCTCCTTTTCAGGTAAAGAAAACTTGCATATTCCCCTTCCAGCTCCTTTTCCAACACTAAGTGATGCTAACACAGAAGCAAGGCATCATATCCCATAAAACACACTCCCTACTACATTGAGCAGAGTCTGCAGCAGAAAGACCCACATCCAAACATCCACCACATGGAAAATGAAGATAAGTTATACTCACACAGTCTCCTCCTCCTTCATCAGAGGGGGGTGAGTGAGGGGGAAGGGGAGGAATAGGAAGACTCTTACTCTCATTGGCTGGAGACTTAATCAAAATAATTGTTTTCAGCCATCTCTAAATTTATCCTTCTGTGTCATCTGCACCCTCGCCTGGATCCCAAATTTAAGAGGCAATCCTTGATGAATGGCAAATCACTGCCTGCAGGATCTTTTGCCAAAGGATGCATCTGCTGGAGGTTTGTAAATGTGAGCTGATTTCTAAGCACTGTAGCAGCTCGGGCTAATTTCTCTAATGAACATTCCACACTCATTCTCCAGCTGCAGCAGCTTTGTTATGGGCAGAACTGGTGGTACAAGACACAACCATGTTGATTCTGTTCTTATATACCTATTTTTCCTGCAGTCACATGGGCTACTGCAGGATTTTTAGGACACATTTAAGAGTTCTGGCCACCTAAGGCAAAGCAGATATCGCTCTTCCATGGCTTCTAAAAATTCTCGCATTAGATGAAGACATATTGGAAATGTCAAGTGTTTGTTCATTTTCATTCTGTAGGGAAGGAGAAATGATGACAATGCCATCTGTTAGATTATTTGAAATTCCACATTAAAGCATGGAATAAACCCTGAAACCAATCAAAGAACTGCTTTATCATTGCAAAGTGGAAGCAATGGGTAAGAACAGCAGAGTATCTGCATTTCCTGCATGCAATTGGCAGAACACACTAATTAGGAAGGTAACTTTTAACGACAAAGAAGAGAGTACAATTGATGTTAATGGTCTGAATAGTCTTTCTGTAAGTGCATTTTGTACTGAATTTGCTCTCTGTAGCACCACTGGCTTTCTGAGTATCAGACATGCTGAGGTCATGGATCTGAAAAACACCACGTTGGCAAGATGTTATGGAAATTTCTGTTGTGAACTGTGCCTCAGATTGCTCAAATGGAAGAGTTCTGATCCTCCAAAGCAGATAACTCTGCCCAAGTAGGATTGCAGGAATTCAAAGAGCTCTGTAATGGAGCATTATTTGCTCTGATCTCTCTAGTTTTCAATTCAGGGCATTACAGATCATGTGAGTTGAAGTTAAAAATATAATAATAGAGAAAATTTCTTGGCTGAAAGTTATCTTTTGTTCTGGGCAATTATTCTTAGTCTTGGGCATGAAGAATAAAACTTCTCCTGGTTCAGAAGAAGCCACTTCTCCATCTCAGGCAACACGAGTGTGCTAAGCTAGAGAGTGTCTCTGCTGGAACACAAAGAGGACAAGTGACAAAGAGAAACATTGGATTGTCACCAGAAATTCCTGAACTCAGGAGTGCAGTGAGACATGGAAAGAGCTGAGCTCTGCCTGGCACAGGAACCAAGGACAGCAGAATCCACTTGGCACACCTTTCATGTTGCTGCCAGCTGAGCATGGGCAACCCTGAAGAAGTTTTATTGCCACCACAACACTGCAACAAAACCCCCTCTTCATCCTCTCTATAAACCCTCTCAGCACAACCAAAGGCAACAGGGAGATGTGAATTCCACTGCTCTGTGTCACACAAGGGAGTTCTGAGCTGCTTCCCTGGAGTTAACAACTCATCTGTGCTATCAAAGGTGTGGATAAACCCTCTTCCATGGGAGGTCAGGATCTGGCCCATCCTATGGATCAGGATCACACAGGCACAGAGTATTTTTGGCTGAAATTCAACAAGTTTGAATTCAGCTAAAAACTCCTCAAATAACTGGTAACAAGCAGCTATTTTTTTTAACATACAATTTCTTCGTTATTTTTTAGAAGTGTAAAGATTTCCTGACAAAGGCTCAACTCAGGTAAACAAAGGCCTGAAAACTGCA